CTCAAACTTGTTTTCTTCAGACACTCAACCACAGCACTGAATTCTTGGGGTTTACTTCCCTTGTTTTTCTCTTTTTGCGTGTGTGTCTAGCTTTCCTTCCGAAGTTGTGTGCTGTTTCCCTCTGCCCTATTTTCTATCAAAAGGTTTTAGCTTTATATCTTTTTCAGCTCTGTTCTTCATTGTTTGTCCTTTGCTGCCCACATCTCCATTCTTCAGAAATTGGTATTAGTGATATTTTTTCATTACATGTCCGCACTAAGTTATAACACTGCAAGCCAATACTTTGCTTTTCCATCAGAGAAGTAAAAGTTGTAAGTCTTATGGTGGTACATAATCCATGGTAATTAATAACTGTAAACTGAAGATACGGACTAACCTGACTCCTCCTTTCTACTTGGGTGTCTTAAGTGTTAGGGCACATGAGAGTCAACTACAAATGTATAAACCATGAGGAGAGTGGTGGTATTAATCTGTAAATGCATGTGGACTGTGGCTTTTCTTGGGTTTTGAACTCAAGTGAGATGCAGATACTCAATACAGAACAAAATTTCAACTATTTGGTTTGGCAAAGTATCTTCAATGTTGGAAGAGAGATTTTATTGCTTATATGTAATGCATGTGCCATAAACAAGTAATTTTGGATTTCATTGAGAGTTTGTAAGGTTTGTCATTACCAGTGGTTGAAAATAGTTGGATTACAATTTCCCATTAGACAGGGAAAGAAATGGCATGTCCAAGCATCACTTGGGTTCCATGCACATGTTTAACCATTCTTAACCTAATGTTCAAAACCATCTAGGCTTCCAGTGTTTGTTTCTAACTTCCCCTTACTCCCCTTTCCTGAGAAGACTTAGCAACACTGTTTCCACTGTGTGTGTGTGGTTGGTTTTTTGGCTTTCTTTTTAGTCAGACTGAAGTTTGCAGTTTTACCCTGAGAACTCTGGTTTTCTATGTGGATACTTTACCTCTGTATTACCTCCATACTACATCTTTCAAGCAATCTTCTTACTTGGCAATGATTTATCTGAGGTACTAGGTTTATCATCTTTGTCTAGAAAAAATTAAATGGGTTTTGTCGATGCAGTAAAACTTGGAAATTCTGCTTTTTAATCTCGTGCTTCCTCTGTTTCCATCTTAACAGTTTGGCTTAGAAGCAGTGGTACATACCTACGGGGTGATGATGTAAATGTCTTGGCTTGTATGTATAAATGTTTCTGTTTGAAAGCAAGTATTTCTATTGTATGTTTCTGAAAGCTAGTTGTTGTAGAGAGATTGTGTAGTTGTAGTGTGAAACTTTGGGTCTTCATTTCTGTTTAAAACTTTGAACTCCAGAAGCTTACATCAAAACCACTTGTGTAGTACAGTGAGAAAATTTGGAAAGGCATAACCTGAGGGCAGCGTAGTTCAACCTGTGTTCAGATGCTTCCAGCCATTTGGCAAAAGATGTGAATTATTTGTTAATGTAGAATTTTCTCTCCAATAAATTTTAGTCCTTCAATTAGGAAAGTAACATTCCAAATGCGTGATGATGAAATGGTATCCTTGTGACTTTATAGGTTTGTAATTGCTAATTTGGCTTTTTTCCACTCAGTGTAATGAAAGGGGGAAGAAAAAGAATTAATTTAAATGTATTCATATGCACAGTTCCATTAAGAAATACAAAAGTCAAATTGTTTCCTCTTTGAGGTTAGATTTATTATATCTAGGAGTAGTTGTGGGAGGGTTAAGTTTGCTACAAAGTTGCCATTATGTCTCCATCTCTTACTAATCTTTGGGAAGCAGGTTTGTGTTTCTAACTTCTGCACTTTGAACTTCAGATGCAATTTTTTTTTTGTTCCCGAGGACAGGTAATGTTGAGGGCTCAAACTCATGTGACGATGTGCAAAAGAAATTTATGCTTAAATTTCATGATATTAATGTAGTGTCTCAACATAAAAATTCAGGCAGGATTAAACAGAAAACCAAAACAGACTTCAACAAACACTGTAAGCTGAAAGGCTTGTCACCTTTTCCTGATCTACGTAAAGTAAGCAGGAACTGTAGAAGTATAACCTATGTTATCTTTCCCTATTAGATGTGGATTTTGTACATGGGTTTAGAAGTTGGATCTTAACCTTTCTGGAGTCTAGAGTAAGTGGTCGTAAGTAGCACCAAAGGAGTGTGAGTGATAGTCTAAAGATACATTGTAACTGTCTCTGTACAGGAATAGATTTTTTTTGTGTGGTTTTGTTTTTAAACATGAAAACATTGTTTCTTTTTAAACATTAAAGAAAGCTTAGTTATATTAAAACTGTTTCCCTCATGATTAAACTGCTTTCAGAGCATGATAGAGGATAATTTAGGAGCATTAATTTACTTCGTTATGGTTTCAATATGTATCTTTTTGAGACATTGCATAACATTAACAGGCTGGAGTTTGCTGGCCTGAAAAGCACTGCAGTCATTTCAGAAGAACTTAAAGTTGCTTAGATCCTGAATTCTACCACCTATATTCAGGAAGAGCATATGTAGATGGTATGCACTGAACAGAAAGATAAATAAATTCCTTGGTGGATTAGATAGAAATCTACATTAATATCTACTATTTAATATTTACTTTGATTTTACTTTTCTTAAAGGTTAAAGTGAAATAAATAAATAACAGAACTATTTGCCTGTGCAGCCTTGAATATAATCTTCAAGTGTATGTGAATTGATTTTTATTTTTTTAAATCTTCAAATATTATTATATCCCTCTTTTTTTCTCACAGAACACTGTCTCAGTCAGTGCTTGAGGAAGGCTTGCTTTAGGGATGAATTGGAGCTGTGTAGGAAGGACCTCTAGTGTTTCCATAGCCTGGGCTTCAGTTATTACAGAAGGTGATATTCATTGAATAAAGGACACGAAAAGAAAACGAGATGTTGTCAGTGTTAACTATGCTGCCAGAAGAACTGCTCTTGAATGCTGTTGCTGCTAAGTAGTTGCAAATGGTAATTAAGATGTAATGCTGATATTTACCATCCTAATGGTAATTAAGTAGCTTACATTTCAGTTAAGGCTAGTTGCTGTTCTTTATTTTGTGGTTTTTAACTGTAGCCTGATTAGGAGAAATGTGTGGAGTTGTTTTTGCATCTGAAGTCTGTGGAAGCTGCATTCTGAATATGTGAATTTTTAAATGCTGATGTATGCACTGGAAAAATTCAGCTCTACAAGTTGGCAACCAGAATTAGTGGGCAGTTCTGACCTTTTGTGTGATAACTTAAAGTAAGGATTCATACTATCTTTCCCAGTACTTTAAATACGAGAGCTATAAAGAAATCCTTGAAGAAATCAGGTTAGGTTGTGTATTAAAACAAAGCATAAAAAGCTGTATACTGAAGCACAAGAGAAATGTCTTTATTTCTTCCTGAAATGCACTGAAAGAGAATTATCATCTACTCTTTCTTAGAATAACAAAAACAGTTGTTGGAGTAAGGAGAAAGTGTGCTATCCCAGAGTTTTCCAGAAAAGAGGATTGAATTCAGGGTGTCCTTAACTTTTGCTGTTTTGGTAATGAAGTGCTTATAAATTTAACATTGGTCTTAAAGTGCAATATTGGTCTTCATGTAGCTTCTTAGCTCTTAAAGCAAACTATGGTTTGACGTTTCATATGCAGTATTCACCTGATAACCTCTGTTTCATGGGTGGAATTACTCTTCTTCCATGCAGCCTTTATTTTCTGAGCAATGGCAGTAATACATAGCAGCAGTAGTAGGTTGCTATAGGTTGCTATTCCCTGTAGACCAGCATTAGTCTTTGCTGGTAAGTTTTGAAAGCTTAATAATAGGAATATTGTAACTTGAAAAGCAAACATGGATCACTCTGCCTGTGGTCTTTGTGCCATAAAAAAAATAATTGCTGCTTTGTGTTTTAGTTTTTTTTTATTTTGGCTTGACACAGTCCTTAGTTTTCTCACCCTAGTAACAGGCTTCTTGGCTACCAAGTTGTGACTTCCACTTCAAGATTGCGATTCTACTTTTGCACTGATTTCATGTCAAGTGTGGTTTGGTTGTTTTTTGTTTTTTTTTTGTTTATTTTTCCCCTTCCCTTATCCTCTTACTTCACTTGCCTGCCAAAACCTATTTTCTCTGACCCATTCATTTGAGCTCTCCAGTGCTCTGCGTTCAAATTGGGTAGTAGCTTCCTTGGTTCAGGAGGAAGACTCTGATTGTAGACACACCATGAAGCGGTACAGAGCTGAAGTTGCTCAGACTGTGAAGTTTAGGGAACACACATAGATTTCTTGGGTCAATCTGTGGAAAAATTTTGGACTCCCTGGAGTACATGCAAATGTTTTACAGTGTTGCTTTATAAGTTGACAAAAGCATTTCTTTGTGGCTGGGGAGTTGAAATAACAAAACTACAAATGCTTGCAAAAGTTGTTCTCTCACTTAATCACAACCCCCTGCTCCTCCAAATAATAGTGTAACTTAGTCTAAAATGACCAATACGTATCCCTTGGTGCATATGAGGAAAAAGGAAAAAGCAACTCTGTTTTGTCCCCTGAGGAGGTTTTATGAGGTTAACGTCAGTGCTACCTGCTTGGCAGAAATTGTAAAATTGAGGAGAGAATATTATGGTGAGGAGTGGCAGACAACCTTTCTTGTCCTTTAGGCTTCTCTGTTAATTATCTATTAAATGAGATAGAGGTGATGTTAGTCTTGTCTCTTCCTGCCTTGTGTAAATGGAAGAGATTTGGGATATCTAACTTTTTTGCAACCTATTTGGATGTGGGGTAGGAGGGAAATGAACTGTAAACTCAAGAACACACCTCACCCCCCAACCATCCAGATTCTTATTAATAATTGTGTGTTGTGATCCTGCCTTGAGTCAGGTTATTCAAATAGTGTCTAAGCTACTTCTGTTGTTGCAAGTCAAGTTCATTAACTTGGGGAGGGTCAGGGGGAAGGAAGGAGTCTTAAGTTACTGTGTACGTAATTAGGATGGGTTCTTATTTGACCTAAAGTCTGTCTTGATGCAGCAGCACAAGCCAGCGAGGAGACTGTCACATTTCGTCGTGAACGCAGCACATTTAGGCGTCAGGCAGTACGACGCCGGCACAATGCAGGGAGTAACCCTACCCCTCCTACATTGCTCATCGGATCACCCCTCAGGTAGGGTATCTAAATGTTCCACCATATTTAGCATGCATGCAGCAGACCACTTCTCCCCATACCCACCAGTGTTGCCAGCAACACACTTTTTACTTCCTTCCCCACCATAACCTCCTTGAGCTGTCACTGCATGTCACTGTGGGCTTGTTGAATTTTGCATGTATATGTGGCACTATTTTCAAAATGAGCAGGATAGCCAGTCTCTAACATGTTACAGCTGATTTCAGATGGATAACAAAAAGAACTAATGCTAACAAACCTAGATTCAGTGTTTTTCATCAAAACTTCAGAAACTTTTACTTTCAAGCAAGGAAGAAATACCCAAGAAAATATTATTCACCTCTCCTCCTTTTGGTTTTCTTTTCTTTAAGAAAGTATGCACTGGGGACTAGGACTGTAATCACTTTTCACATCTGTAGATAGTGGAGAGAAGTGTGATAACAAAAGCAGAACATTATAAGGAGCTAAAGTGCTTCTGCAGAGGTTCCAAATCTAAAATAAAGGTGAACTGTTGTATGACTATCCTGCAGCTTCTTACAGCAGAAGGGACATAATGAAGATTAATAGTGATGCCTTTGCTATAGAGTGCACAGTGTAAAATTTAGTCATGTGGCACTTTGCAGGCCTTAGAGATGCATAAAATATACTGTATACGTGTATCCCAGGAGTCCCAACCTTCACTGGCACATTTGTTAACAATACTAAGCCTAGTTATATGCTACATACAGCAGCTCTGGTCTGTCAGCTTGACAGCAGTAGAAGGAGCAGCCACAGTAAGTTAAGTTTGCTTTTTAAATCTTTCAGTCCTGTGGTTGCCCACAGTGTTAGAGGATCTGGCTAGCAGAGCAATACCTGTAGAAGAAGGAACATCCCCCCCACAATATATCAAAATAATTCTTCTTCCAGTTATATGATGAATACAAAGGAATAATTGTATGTGTTGTGTATTCTTAATGACCTTTTCATATGTTAAGCTATCTTTAATAAATAGGAGCAGTCTGTCTTTATGTTTCAGGAATACTAGCATAATTTTTCTTACTAGAAAAAGCTATAGAAACTGAGCAAATAAAAAAAATACTTTATAATAGGGGATGGGTAAGGAATTGTGCCATTTCTGTGTCACCACTGAAATAACAAAGGACTAACTTTGTAAGATTTCCTCAGGCAGGAGGATTGCAAGAATGATGCCTAAAATTAAACAAATGAAAGGTTTACTTCTGCCACATCAAGTACTGAAACTACTAAACTACTTAGCTGTGGTTCTAGTAGATAGCGCAGTATATAGCAGCAGTCACATTGATTCACATAATTTGGTCGTGTTGCTGAACCTGGCTTGTTCAACTTCAAGTTAGTGATTTACTTTGTGGTGCAGGATGCCAAAACTATGCATTCTCTTAGATCACTTGCTTATTCTCTGTTAAACTTGTTTCTGATGTTTTTCGTGGGTGATTTTTTTTTTGTTCGGAGGTGGGGTTTTGTTTGTGGGTTTTTGTTTTTTTTTTTTATTAAAGCAGGGTAGTAGTAGTATAATTTTGGGTATTCATTCATAAGAGCCTGTGCAGACAAATCATAGATCCTGAACTGTGCATTAGGCTGAAAACAATGAGTTTTCTTGCTCATAGGTAGGGAGTAGGGTAAATAAAGGACCGTTTTAAATAACAGACTGTTTTAAACTGAGGCTTACAGCTGCCTTATTTTTTACACACTACTGCAGTCATTAGGGTTCCTGTGGCTTAAACTGGACTTCATTGTGAGTTCATGAGGAAACTGAAGTGATGAAAGCAACTTTTTAATCAGACAAGATGTGCAAGGGTGAAAGAGTGGATCAAATACTTGTATTTTCTCTATGTATCTTCTGGTTATCTAAATTTTTTACTTTCTACATATAAAAATCCAAAGAAAACTTTCTCTGACATAATGGCACATTAATAAATATACATGTATTGTAAACATATGCTCAGTATTGAATACTTATTGAGGTCAGTTTTCTCAAAGCATTGTTTGTGATGCTAAATATCTGTCCTTTAGAGTAGAGTTAAATTGATGTAGTCCAGCCAGGCACCACAGTGCTTTCAGATTTGTTTGACATAAATTCCACTTAAACTACCAATAAACTACCAACTGTGGAATATACCTGAAATGTTGTATATATACTGTTTGATTTCTGGCTGAGTAGTGTGAAAGCTTTTCTTTATATGGGTAGCCTAATTTTAGTGTAAATTCTATGTGTTGCTGGAGGAAGAAACCCTGAAAGATTAGAATAATGTGCATAAGGAAGAAATCTGATGAAATACAGAAAAAGAGGGGTTTTCTTACTGTTTTTTTTGTGTTTTTGTTTTTCCCCAGCTGTAACCAAGTATCACTGCAACTGTACTGGCATTACTTGTATATGCTAGTGGTGAGCTGCCTCAGTCTAGTTCCTAATATCGCTAATCCATGTGCTTTCAGATGTTAAACTTCTAACAGCATTAGATTCACCCATATTTTGTTGCCTTAATATTGCTCCTTTTGTATTGCCAGCAAAACTTTAATCTCCTAATCTCTAACTCTGGCATAATATTGGATGTTGTGAGGATATTACTTTAGAACCTGTGGAGTTCAACCTAATTTTTGCTTTTATAAATATTTCCTACCCATTATTACTATTAATTTTCATTTCCCCTGTGGAATGTTTAGTAAAAGAAACAATGGTATTATATGCATGAATGTTTGGCAATGGTAGACACTTAAGTAAAACCTGATCTAGTAAATTCTGCTGTTCTGATGCCAAATTAGACACAGGAGTTCTTTGCTGGGCAACTTAAAAAACAAAACAAGATCGAAACCCACCCCAAAACAACCAACCACCCCTGCTTCTGTCCTGCCTACATGTCAACAGTGTTTTGGGTACTTAAGTATGCATCCTATGTAGTCAATGATGTATGCATGTGTGTCTGATATGAGGACTATCTGTTAAGTGATTGTCCAAAGCAGAATTTTAGTTTTATAATTAACTAATCAGGCAGAGGATTTATCTTTTACAAATCAGTGCAATGCCTGTTTTGGGTTTGTTGTTGTGACAGATGGATAACCACTGAAAGGGCAACTTTGAGTATACCTTTTGATACATAGCTACTAAAGGGAAAACAGTATTGTTTAGCATTGTTTTGGTGTTGCTGATAATACTGGAGGGACACTATGAAGGCTGGCCACATATATGAGCTTCCTTAGGGCTTTTGTTGCCATGTAGCTTACTGAGAGCCATGCAGCTTACTGAGAGCCATGCATACAGCAGCAAACCACTGAATTTAAAGTTCAGATTAAGATCTGTTATAATAGAATAAATAATGAATTGCATTTTTTTACTTAACGAGCAGTGTGCATGCCTGCTTTATTTTGCATGAGCTTTTCTGAAGACCTGTTCTTAAATCCTTTTGTTTTCCAGTAGATGAAAAGTGGATGTTCTAGAAAATATTGTTGGAAAGCAAGTACATGAGATGTAACACCTCGGTGCTTAGTATGCTCTTACTTTCTCAGTTGCCTCGCTTGCAATTGTAGCACCAAGCTGTAAATAGTGACATCTTAAAAGCACCAGATGATACTCTTTTGAAAAGTGTTTAAGATATTTTCCATGGTCTTTTTAAAGTGTAAATTCTTTTGTCTAAAAAATTTCTTAATTTCATTGTGTCCCACAGCTACTGACTGTGACATGCACAGTGTGTAAATTGCACAAAATGGATTAAAAAAAACCCTAGTCTTGCAAAGTAGGATGTGATATAGATAAGTGTGTCATATTTTCAGATACTTAGCCATGTTTAATATTAAGCTATTAAAAAATAGCTCTGTAAAATAGGTTTGCAATGAGAAGGCTGTGAAGAGAAGAACTAACATTTTCAAGCATTGTCAATCCATGTGGCTATGAACTTACACATTTTCTGGAGCCCAAGCTGGCTTTTAAAACCTGTTTTTTAGGTGCAAGTATGTGTGAGTATAGAATAACTTCTTTGCAGTAGTAATACTGATTAATGAAGTTCTTGCTGTGTTGTCAAAATAACTTCAAATAGACTTAAAACTTCTGCCAATTAATGATTTATTATAAACATTCTATAGGCTTCTGAATTCAAATGCTTTAACTACAGTCATCTACGAGGTCTGTGGTAGTAGTTTGTGGCTGCTGGTAAAGCTTAAAGACTCTAGTTAGAGTGCAGGTTAGTAATAAGAAGGTGATGTTATTGTGACAAAAAAAACCAAAGCCAATTAAATAGCTGATCAGGTTGGCTAAATGAGCAAAAAAGTCTCTAACTACCATGAGAAGACTGGGATAGTCACTGTTGTGTGTTGGTGATACTTCAGGTTAGTCTACAGTTTGACTAAGAACCAGTAATTTGCTTTACCTCCCACAAATTAAGGCTTGAAAGAGTATACAACTTTATGGTGACTTGGGGAGATGTTAGCAGTACTGCTTTTAAGAAGTAAGATAAGAACTGTATCTCTAGATTACTGATGTAACTAGTGTCCAAATACTGTGATATGGAATTCATGGGTTATCCTAACCCTCGTAAGTGGGTTCTTAATGCTATACTCCTGCAAGTTTTCCTCTTTAAAGTCTTGTTTTGCTTCACTTCTAGCTATCTTTCTCTTCTTCCCGGTAATGTGTCCCCAATCCGTCTTTTCTTGTAGCCTTCAAGATGGTCAGCAAAGCCAGCAGCCCTCCTCCCAGGTCAGAGTGCAGTCCCGCTCCCCTTCGCAGGCAGCTGTGCTCTGCGCTAGCGCCTCCTTGCTGGTGAGAAATGGGAGTGTCCACTTAGAAGCATCACATGCCGCTGCATCTGCTGTAGGTGGTAGCAGTTTGCACGATGAACTTGGTATGCAGGCCTTATGTAACCTTGGTGACATGGAAGTTGTAATGCGGCACATGTGTTGGTAATAACGCGGGGAAAGGCAGCTGAGCTTAGCTCTGATGTTGAATCTTGCAGCTGTGTTTCTTAGGAAGCCATATTGCTCATAAATTCCTTGCCTTTCATAGTCACCTTTCCAGGAACTTTCTTTAACAAATGCTCAATGATAAATACTCTGAGGATGCATAGATACGAGTAGTGATGCTGTGAGAGCTTTCATGACTTGAATGATGTAACACGTGTAATGCATAAGTGTTTTTGCATTGTCACAGGTAGTTGAGCAGAGATTGTGACCAACTTTGGGGATCCTCTGGTTTCTGGAAAAAAAAATGTTACAGTTCCTAGGAAATCTTGATTTTTGTTTTATTTTTTTTTCAGATAAGTCTTGCTTAGCTGCTGTTCAACCAAAAAAAAATCATTGTGTGAATGAGTACTTTATTTTTTCTCTACACTTTAATTTAGGAGCTTGAGATTGGAAGAAAATCTGGACTCTTTCTTACATCAAATATCATGATTTCATGGAACCTTACAGTGCCCCTTAGTTCTTCATGGTTTTATTTTATGTAGTATTCTTAACTATTTTATAACTTCTGTGTAGCTAATAAAAATGCTAGGGAGAAGGAAGCTAAGATGATCAGAAGAAGTGACTGGTCTCCTGTGGCACAGTAACTTGGGGGCAGATGTGGTAAAGCTCCTGCAGGGATCTTGGCAACTTTCTGTTAATGGCCTGAATTACTGATGACTTCAGTATTAATATGGAATTCTTCTTCAAATTATTAAAATGGGTATACTTAGAACTGACAGTTATTAGTGACAGTATTTTGAGTATCTGTCAGCTGTAGTAACCTAAAAGTATAGGTTAGCTCAGAACACTGACAAAACATTTGTTTCATTCCATACTATGCTGAAAGATAAGTGAATTATCATGTAATTCCACTAGTGGGGAAGACTTAGAGTTGTCAGGCTGCGATATCCCTATAAATATGAATTTGGCTAACAAGTTGCCATTCATCTGTACCATCTAGCTGCAGTATAAGGAAACATTGAATATAAGCAAAATTAAAAACATCCCTGTCAATCTCTGAGATGTCTTATGAAACTTAACAGATGTGATATACACAATCTGATTGTGGCTCTACTAGATAGAAGATTTGAAACTTCTATCTCAAGTCTTGTATGTGTCTGTGAAGTTTGAAAGCTTATCAAACAAAAGTGCAAATTTCTTTATATAATGTGGACTCTTGTTCGAAGTATTTGAATATAACTCTGAAATTCAGGACTACAAGCTGTATCTGTCCAAGGTTAATGTTGAGAATTATCCTTAAAGCTACCATTACTGTATTTAAGGATTTGGTTCTTTTTTAACCTAAAAAGGAAAGTCAAGTTTTATAGAATTCAAGATTTAATACACAATCTAGGTAAGTCTGAGTTACTTAAGAATTTATACTGTGTTATAGTAATCAAAGTGGACACTTAAGACATTCAGCATTATTTTCAGGCTCTCTAAAAAGGCATATTCCTTGCACTTGGTGTACATTGGAACATATTCAGAAATCTGTATAGCTGAATTCTGCTGAAATTTTGTCTGTACTGTGTTCATATTTACAGGTGCAGCACATTGCATTTGGGAGGCACTAAACTTCCAGGGTCTGATCAGTTAGACATATGATGTTAGTAGGCATTTATTTCTGATTTGAAGTTTTGAGCATCTGTTTAGAAACCTTCCATGAGTGCAAGCAGCCATTCCAGGCAACATCTGGTTTTACTGCTTTAGGAAAATTTTCTAGTTTGTGTAGCAGGCTTTGTGTGACAGGTACTATCTTTTGGTAAAGTAGTTGGTGAAATGGTGCAGACTTTCACAGGCATGATTCCATTATCAGGCTTGACAAGAGTATCTTTCCTTGTAACTGGTATGTGGCTTTTTGGGGTTTTGTTTTGGGCTGGAATTTTTTGTTATTGTCAGTCAGGGATGAACACTCTTGCTGTTTCCCTTAAGTCTAAGGCTGTTTTTGCTGTGTTGTCCAAAAAACCTCACAGTGAAAGATGACACATTACTGTAGATTGTGTGTGACTTGGAGGTGGTGGAGGGTAGCAGTTTTCAGTTTTCTTAACTTTTACTCTGATGTGATCAAAGCAATGCAGGCAATACAGCTAATTTCTTGTCACTGTAGAAATCACTGCAACTGCCCAGGGTAAAAAATAGAGGCTGGGGAAAAGATAAGGAAACAAAACCTGATTTCCATAGGAGGTACCAGTGACATGCAGCAGATACTATGTGTCTCTGTACAGTGCATGTGAGAAATTACTTTCTTAATGAAATTCTGTTAGTGTTTTCCAGTTTTTCTGGAAGACAAACAGGGCATGTGTTAATTTACATTAAGAGGCCCCACATTTAGGACCTCTGTTTTTTTTTTGTACACCAATGCAGTGTCTGCTTCTATTCTTTCTCCACTTAGATGTTGGATGTCAAGCTGCCGTTTTTAACAAGATGCACAATGTTAATTTTTTTGTTTGTTTTAAAGGTTTGTGTCAACTTGATTCCTGTGGCTTATTTTACAAAGGGTGACCCTTAGTCTATCATGCCTGTCCTACATCCAATCTGGTAACTGTATGGTTGTCTTCAACTGGACATTCTCCTGAGAATAAGGCAAGAGGTGTTTTGAGGAGTTATCTTTAGTCTTCCAGGCTTGAAGTAGAAAGATTTCTATTAATTACATTGCTATTTTATGAGGGGTGTGGGGAAGGAACTTGATGGAAAAGAAGCTTACTGTGAAGCAGTAAGCATGAAACTAATAATAGGAGGAATGCAGGACAGAAAGGAAAGGTGGCAAGCCAAGAGCCATGCTTATAGGCAAAATTAATATAATAGGAGTCCAGCAAGCAACAAAATGTATACTGTGACTTGAAGTGAATGACAGTCTTCAGAGAACAGTGTGGCAGTGCTAGTGTCTTTTATTCTCAGTGATAACTGATTCTTGAGACACATAGGTGAAGTGTGGGACTTCAGTCCTTGCAGTGAGGGCTGTAGGTGTTTAGAATTTGTCAGGTAGTTAGTGCATTTGTCATGTATTGAGTCACTAGAACAGATGCCCTGTTTCTGAAACTGGGATGAAATAACAGCCTCTTGTCCTCAGCTAGCTCATTATTTATTTTATTTTTATTTTTAATCTAAGGAATACTGGGATTGCAATTAAAGAAAACTGGTCATCTGCGGTTCTACAATACAATTACCCTGCCGTGCTGAGCTTTGGATTGTGTCACTTTTATGCAAGCAATAATCTTTCAGATTTATTGAAGTATTTTAACTGATAAAAGCAGTTGGATGGTCTTAAAGACAAAAACATTTTCTCTAAAGATAAATTATTACTGATTTCATTAAAACTAATTAAATTACTGATTACTTATTTGATTAAAACCAATTTAGAATCAGTTCCTCAATGCTTTTTTATAATGAAGTAGGCGTAATTTATTTGGGACAGATGGGGGAGTATTTTCAAAGCTTACAGGTAGAAAATACTTTCCCATTCTTCCTATGGAAGATACCCCTGTTGTAGTCTGTAGAATTCTGCATAGTTTGTAATTTTTTGTTTCTATATGAAGTCTGTCAAATACAATAACTTAGAAGTTCTAACCGAAAACTCTTAAGTTTTCATACTGCAGCTGAAGGTAAAATTCTGACCTTGGGACATGATAGCGCTTTGCGTGCTACATGGTATTCCAGTTCTGATGGCTTTGGGTTGGCTGACTAGGATTTCAAAACTATTGCTACAAGTAGTAGATGGCTGTATCTTCATCTAATGATGATGCAGACTTCACCATGTCAGCTGTTAGCAACATTCAGAACTAGTTTGAGAGGTTTGAAACAAAGTAGTCTTTATTAGATGGAAAAGTAGGAAATATGCTGAAAGTAACTTAGCTGAAGAAACCATCAGAACACCATTTTATTTGGATCCTGAGTGGCTGTCTTCCAGGTTTCATCTGTGTAAGCTCTTCAGCCTGTGCTCTCATTGATTCCTGTAACTGTGGCTACACCAGTTAATACATGAACTCTCGTGTGATTGTCTCTGGACTTGGTGATGAGATATTTGTCTTTTGAAACAAGAAAACTTGTTTCAAAGGAAGTGCATTTGTCTTTTCTTGTCAGAACGAAGATGCATTTTGGATTTGTGTGCCTGAGTATGCATGAATTTGTTTTGTTATTTCTGTAGCCTGATCCAAATAGAATATTGTTTGGGGACTTTAATTTGCTAAGAATTCACAGCCCTCACTTTGGGGGCTGAGGTGAGTTACAAGCATTTCTGTTCAGTGGATAAAGATGCTATTGGCTGTATTTCTTCATTTGTAAAGTAAACTTTTGAGTCTGCTATTTGTTCATAATAACAGTCCTCAGAGGAGAAAGGGAAAATGTTAAGCTTCTTCAGAGCACTGTGGGAGAGCTAGGAATGGGAGGGACAGAAAATGACTAAGGTAACTAAAACTGCTAGGTGTATCCATAGATACTGAATCTTGTGAGCATTGAGAAGCTTCATTTGAGTCTGTGCTGTGAGGAAGCTGCTGTTATCTCACAGTTTAAAAATTATTTGATGGGACTTCAGAGCTCAGCTATAGGATATCCAGTCATACCCTAGGATTTGCATCCTCAGTAGCACTGAACAGTCCCGTCATCTTTTCTACTTTGGATGAGTTGAGGTTTTTCTAGTGAGCCTTTTTGATTGGGGAAAAAAAGCCAACAACAAACAAACCAACCCCAACATACTACATTAAAAACAAACAAACCAAACAAACAAAAAATAAACCAAAAAATCAAAGGAAAACAAAAAAAGGGGCAGGCAACTTTGTTTTCTTGAGAAGCCATGCCTGTCTTGACAGCTAACTGAAGGAAGCCCATATAAAGTAGGGGAGTAAATTGCAAGTATGGTAAAACCTGTGTCCTGTTTTGCAGCTTGTGTAAAAACAACTGGAATTAAGTGTTCTGTCTGTTTGCTACCTCTCTATTAACTTTAAGTGGGTTTGTTTTATCCCACCACAGCTGTATTTGTATTGCTGCTATAAATTTTGACAGATTCAAAGATTTATCTTGAAAGTAGCATATTCTAACTTCTGTGACTAAAGTTTCATTAATTTTAAAATCTGAAAGTTTAATTCTAAGGATTCTTAAGGACTTTTTGCCCAGATGATTTTTTTTTCCATAATTTATGTGTAATTTTGTCCTGACGAGAATCTGAAATGTGTTCTCTAATGCCTTCATGTTTGCTGTTGAAATTGGTTTTTTACTGATGCAGTCAAGAGACCTTATGTGTAACTTAAGGTTTGTTATTAGTTGTGGTAAGGAAGATTCCTAATTTCTTGCTCTAGTTTAAATTCTAAATAGTAACAACTGTTTACTACAGTATGCATGAAAACCCAAAAGTTATTAATTAAAGCACTCAATTAAAACCTTAACTATTGAGGAAGAAAGTCTTTTAACAAGTGAGCTTTCAACCTGTGTTTCCCTACAAAGGCCTATAGCAGAGATAATTAAATATTGAGAGCTGTTGTGTTAATGAGCTCTGACACACACTGTATGTGACTCCTAAACTATGTACCTGACAGAATAATTGGTCTTAGCACATATGTGGTATTGGTCTAATTGGCCTGAAGTGCACCTTCTGAGGGTAAAAAGCTTTATAAAGATATATTCAACATACTGGTGTCTTTCCTTAGTGTCACTAGTTTTAATCATCCAATTTGAGGTGTTTAACCTTCTCACTTTCAAGCACATCTGTATTGGACATGAATGTTTGTGGGTCTGAAGAGAGTTTGAGCAGGATCATAGTGTGTTTAAGAAAAAAAAATCCCCCACAATATCAGAAACAGGTTATGCCCTTACAGAAGGCAGAAAGGCTCAAAGCTCTGATCTTGTTAGGCATTTCTCCTTGATCTGCTTGTTATCCTATATCAACAGAAGAAGAAAGGGGTGTAAGATGTGCAGCGAGAGTTGCAGTTTTTCCTTCAGATGCTCCAGAGTAGGATTTCTTTTTTTTGTTTTGTGTAAGCAGATCTGAAAATATTGCATGCTTTGCATTATGGCTTAAGAAGGGGTTTCAGCTAGAAGAGATGGAGAGGTTGGCAGAACAGTTCATGTGAGATGACAATTTCAAAATCAGCTTCCTGCATTCAATTCAATATATTGAACCTGGCCTTCAGGGGAAATTACAATGCTTCTCTCTCTGATCAGGCTATTGTGGGAGATGGGCACTGTAAAACATCACATTGTAAGGTAATTTATCATTGGAGTTATAATATCTGGCTTTTTTTGCAAATTACATATTTAGGAATAGCTTGATATTGTTCATTCAGCAAGTTTTTAATAACAACTTTAGGAGATCATGGTTAATGGATTCCTAGTAACTCCAAATGGATTATCTGAGATGTTCATTTTCAGTCTTCTGTTTTTACACTGAAGCATGTGCTTCTGGCTCAGAGTAAACTATTCCTACAATTCCTTTTTTAAGTTTTCTACAGGTATAACTTAGGAAGCTTCTCTAGCCACTTTTTTTCAATCATTGTGTTTATTTTCAAATAGATACATGTGCCTCAAAAGAATTTTATTCGGGGCACTTGAGGAATCTCTAGCTGAATGTCATGTTTCTTTAATGCTGATAATGAAGGATTTACTGATTGCTCTACTTCAGGTGAGAGGGATGAGGAGGAACTGAAGATGGTCATGGCAAGTTGTTTGCCTAGTCTTCTAAGGGGATGGGGGAAAAGGCTCACAATGTGCTTTTGTTGTGTTGATGGTGACATCTTGTAAATACAGACTCCTAAAATTCAGTTCAGTTCTGCAGTTTACTATATATGCGTCACATAAAATGGTATGAGAGTTGAGTAGCTAATGTCTTGTCTGCATTGGTGACACATTAATGTGTAATCATATTTTATATTTTGACACTGATGTAAATTTAGATGTCTAAACTGACCTCAGTAGTAAGTGAAGTAGAAACTACCATGAGTGGGATGAAACATCATGAAATTCTGACTGGCTTTTGACCTTTTCTTTAACAGGTAAGTTCAGTTCTACGCTCTACGAGACAGGGGGCTGCGACATGTCACTTGTGAACTTTGAGCCAGCTGCAAGAAGAGCATCGAACATCTGGTGTGTGTGAAGGCCAGTCAAGAGTGATGATTCTTGTCTTGCTGCAACCAAATACTTGATTTTAATTTTAAAAGGTTATTTAGTATGGACTACTGGAAATAAAATACAGAATATTATCCATATACTTTTACTTTTGAAACCCAAGTGATTTTTATGAGAAGATGACATTAACTACATAGGTTTTATTGTGGATTTTGTTGGTTTTTTTTTCGATACTTAAATAAAGCTCAGAAAATAAAGACTACTATTGCTTAAGCAATAGATGTCCAGATAAACAACTTGACATGCATTTTTGATTGGCTTTAGAAAGCCTTTAAGGATTTAGACCAGGTTTTGGGAAAGTAGGTAGCTGTTGACCATAATGGCTTTTCACTTGCTTAGAAATGAACTTCCAATTGTGAAGCAAATGTAAACTGATAAAATTTGTTCTCAAGTTCATAGATGGCATGAAACAATACATTGAAGTGTTAACATGCCTGAGGTTGACATCTGACTTGGAGCTGAAATAGCCAGCTATAGACTGGAAAGTTCGTCTGCTGTTGGAAAGATGCCCTTGGACAGGAGGCAGAAGAAAGAAAAACAATGCAAAACCTCCTGTCTCTCTGCAATCCGCTTCACTAAATAGAAACACTGTGAAGCTATTGTCATGCAAAATGCCACAGATTCCTACTATGTGTAGGGGGAATAGTTATTGGAATTACAGAGCAATGGATATAGAAGTTCCTATATTCAAATCTTGTGAAATTGTGCAAGTGCCTTTTGTAGAGTTGAACTTTGACCAAGTTCTGTCTTCCTTGCACAAAGCTGCCAATGCCTGCCTTCTACTGCTTGCATGTTCTAGATGCAATGGCTTTGCTGATGGCTGCTGTTACGAAGTTACATGTACTAATGGAAGAAACAAACTGGCCACATCCAAATAATCAGATCTCATTTTTAGAGAATACTTGGGTTTTAGTGAAGTAAAATTGATAACAAAGAATGTTTTTATCTTAAGGCAAGGAACTGAAGGAAAGTTGCATAAATTTGATACAAGTCTTACAGCCATGTGATTTTACATGGAAAACAAACATCCAAAAGCTATCCAAAACTGGGGAAAAAAGCAGTGGTTGGATATGGACCCCCGTACAGTAAGAGAAATTTCTCCTCATCTCTGTTGAATGGAAATTGCAAAGTAATTTTGCTCTTCTTTACCAGAGGCTTAAATTTTATTTACAGTTGTTTTTCAGAAGCTATTTAAGTAATGCAGTATACTTGTGTTAAGTATGTACTATCTTGGGCAGTCTGGGGACCTTGGTAAAAACAGTACTGAATTAACATAAACTCTGTAAGTGAACACATAGAGGGTTCTGTGTTGCTCTAGGGATGTTACGTGTGTTTGCATGTCAGTAGCTAACAGATTATAAAACTTTTTTCTTTTTTTTTTCCCCAAGGGGAATAATTACTATCATGCTAATCCTTGTTGGACAACTCTGGGACTAGGTGTTGAGAAAATTATACCAAGGTTAAAGAGTTTCCTGATTTGCTGTGGCTACAGAAGTTACCATAATACACAAGACTAAGTGGATACTTGTATCTAAAACATGATTGAAAGGAAAACTTAAATATTTTTAGCTAGAACTTGCAAGGAGTCAAAATTAATTTGGGACACTAGAAAATTAAGAGTGGCCTGTTGAAATAAAATGTAGTTTTATAATCTGAAGTCTTTCCCCTGTTCTTATAGTGACACGGACTCTCACGTATCGAGTTCTACCTCAGTTCGCTTTTATCCACATGATCTAGTAAGTTTTTCATCTTTATTTTTAAAGCATGCAAAAAATCAGAAGGCTTTCAAATTTTATAGCACTGATTAACCATTTTGTGTGGTAGTTCTCTGTTCTTAAGAAGAATTTTTGCCTGGGTTTAGATGAAGATTAAGTATGTATTGTTCCAGTGTCTTCATATATGCATACAAATTCATCTTTCTGCATAGTAGTTTAAAATTTAACTGGCTTTCTATGATCTAAAGCATAGTTATTTTCTAAATCACATGGAAATTGTTCTGAGATACCTTGTAAGGGTTTCCAGAGATAATAACTTGGCCAGAGCCTTCCTTCTGTGCTAAGGTCAGCAGTCAGCAGAAAGAATAAATTTCTTGTTCTGTCCAGAGAAACTCCAGAAGTTTCCCTGAAAGGAATTTAAAAATCTGTTATTGGAATCTGTTGTACAGAATTAATTCATATGCAGGAGTGACTGGGAAGAAAGGCAGAGTGTACACTGTTAAATACCATAAATAGCTTTAGAATTCTTCAGTTTTGTGATCTCAAGCCTTTTATATTATTGTAAAGTTCAGGCATACCTGCAATCTTAATTAATTCTGAAGTCTTACATTGCTGGGTTAGTGCAAGAGGTCATGATTCTTATGATCATGATCCTTAAACTAGGAAACCAAAGTGCATTGAAATACCTAATCACCTAATCAAGAGGGAAAATGAAATAGGAATTCAGCATTTGGCAGAGGAAGAGAAGGCCTTCATTTGCCTGACTGTGCTTTTGATCAAGAATGTGCTTTTTGTACCTGGTGTCTGCTAGAGGAATTTGCTTTTCACCATCCCCCTTGAAAATGTAGCCCTCTAAAAAGAGGCTCCATTTTCTCTCTTGTGCTGTTGGTTTGCTAGCATGAAGGGAATGATTCTGCTTAAGGCAAACTCATACTTGTAAAAGCTTAGCCCATGTGTCTTGATAGAAGTTTTCTGCTGAAATTTATTATTAGTATTGGTGAACATTATGGTGCTTCTACCTTTTCAGAAACCAAATTTTTTAAAAGCTGTCAAAAAAGCATCTGTTTTTTGGCACAGCTTATCTTGGATAGTATGTTTTGTATTCTTGAAATGCCTTTAGGAAGGCAGTGTTTCCTGCTTGTGGTTTTTATTAGTATTTTTCTAGGAAGGCAAAGGTGGCTGAGCAAAGTTAAAGTACATTAATGCTTTAAGGAGTCATTAAAAAAATCGAAGAAAAAAATTGAATGTTAAACTTTCTAGGGGTTTGGATGTTCAAGGGTTTTTTACAATTATCTTAATGTTCACACTTAAAGGTGATACTATTTAAATTTTAGTCTTTGCCTGAAAAGACTGAGAGTTTTTTCCTTCATTAAATGATGGTTTAATGATGTGATGGTATAAAGGGCAGCGCATTAAGATGTCTCTTGGCCTCTTAATGAAACTAAGAAAATAGGTTAGATGGCACATACATACTGTAGTAAATTTTTAAGCTTTGGGGCACTCTTCTTGGATGTTCTGGTTGTTGCTACTACTGCGATTTCAAAAGAACTCTAGAGTGACAAACTACAAAATAAGTGAATTATAGTTGATGATAAACAGTACTTAAGTAGTTAGGGCAGAGTTTTTTTTTAGTTTGTCTCTCAGTATTCTGAATGTCATGAGTTTGACCACTGATGCATGCATATATTGCTTTGTCCTGCAGAAACAACCATTCAGCATGGGTGTGCATGCAGGTTAGTTAACTTGAAGAAATGTGTTGCAGTTTATTTAAAGTCAGTGTTGTATTATTTTTGTGGTATACTTTATTCCTGTTCACATATCAGTTTACTTGTCTTCAAATTTGAAGTTTTTGGAGTAAATGGGATAATGTATTTGGAAGACGTGTTCGTACTTCATTTGAAATAAGGCATATGCTAAAAAGCCAAGCAGTTATGTTGTATGGAAATAATTCTTGCTGTTGGTGCTATTCATTTGCCATAAGGACAGGAGAAGTAAGTAAAAGCCCGAGAACTGATACTGTTTAAGAAGGAAACTTCTCAAAAGTGAAACTAAATAATTCTAGCAATTTTCTCCAAAGCAGTTCACAGTAGAATACAGTGATATAATAAAAATGAGCTGTTATTAATACTGACTTTCTTTTAGCTTTCTCTTCCTCAGATCAGGTTGAACAGGCTGCTAACCATGGATACAGATCTCCTGGAGCAGCAAGATATTGACCTGAGCCCTGACCTTCAGGACCACATGCAACCTCAAGAGGAAGCAGCTCAAAAAGTCAAGCAGTACTATCGCTTTTGGATCCTGCCTAAGCTTTGGATTAGTATCAATTTTGATAGATTAACTCTTCTGGCTTTATTTGATAGGTGAGAAAGTCATATTTTACTAGACCTCAGAAAGTAATGATTAAAAAAATTGTAACTAGCCTGTAATCCAGATAAAGATATATCCTTAGAGAATTTTACTCATTTACTATATTCTGAATGATGAAAGAATAATACAAAATGCAGTTTTTCTAAAATAACAGTTGCTACTTTCCCTCTTTCTCTGGTGATGTAAAAAAGGAAAAAAGAAAATGCCTCATTTTGCATGGATAGGTGATAATGTGCTTGAATGGTAAAAAAAGAGAGATTCTTTAAAGCTAGAAAATAACCCCAAAAAACTAATTGAAAGGGTCTAGAACCTGGCATACACTTACATTACTTCAGCAAGTAGAGAGATTTTACCTGTTGTTTCAAAGCATTATTCCCAAGGGCCTTTGAACACTGCAATCTGTTGTCCCTGCTGCATTTACCTAGGGGAATAAAATGGAGGTGACCCCATTTAAAAAAAAAGTTACGAACTTTTGGAATATATAGGGTATTTAAATTTTGGCAATAAACAGGAATATTCGGTTCTTAAGCACTGCCAAAATCATACGGAATTATCTCTATTCCACTTGGAATATATTAGTCAAGTGTATTTTTAGCTTCTTTGTTATAAAATTATGAATGACAGCCTATATGCAGATAAGCTACCATGTATATTTTCACGGGTTTGTAGTCGCCATGTGTGCATCTTGAATGTAGATTTATGTTACAGACCATTCTTCTGGTTGAGCCTTTGAATTATTCCTGAAGTTGTTTGCTGAAGTTGTCTTCTGCTGTTTAAAAATCAGTTCCATAAGATACTAATTGCTTTCAGCTATTGTTGAAATCCTGGTAGCTCTTAGCTTTGCTAAAGGACAGTGTGCGAGTATAGGCAATGCAAGTTCAGATCTATTCTTAACTATTTTGCTACCAGCATCATAACTCTTGCTAAGTTCTGACTGTAACTGTTCCCTTGCAGCTTTTTTTCTAGATATAGTTAGCTTTTAATTCTTTTTGTTGTTGTTGTTCCTTTTTTTTTTTAATCTCCCCCTAATACAGGAATCGTGAGATCCTTGAAAACGTGTTAGCTGTCATCCTAGCTATTCTAGTTGCATTTCTGGGCTCCGTACTTCTTATAGAGGGCTTTTTCAAGGATATTTGGGTCTTCCAGTTCTGCCTGGTAATAGCCAGTTGTCAGTACTCACTGTTGAAGGTATTTTAATTTCTATCTTTGCTTTATATAAACAATAGCAATAACCTCTGTTGGGTGTTGCAGGTTAGGTTTGCTTTATGGAAAAACCTGCATGCTTACGATTTAAAAAGAAATGAGTAAACTTCAGTTTCATGGAAAGTTTGATAGGTGGTTGTAGAAGGTCACTGCACTAGAATGGTTCTGTTTATGTTTGTTAAACAACTCTTTATTTGCTGTTCTCATGCGTTTTATTCTTTTCCTAAAGAGGAGCATATTCTTACTGGCTGAAATCCTACAAATTAAACTCGAAGGGATTTTTTTTGTGTTGGTTTTGGTTTTTTTATTAGTGAATACACCTCAATGCATTCATATTAAGCAGTTATATCTAGGCATATTTTTAGTCAGAATCTTGGAGGTTTTTTAGAAAATTGTAATTTAATGATTGTCTGTTTCTTTATGATTAGACTATTAGGGTGGACATTAGATTTAAAATTAAATTGCATAATATTTTTGTGCTTAAAAATACAAGTTTTAAAAATTAGTTGTTTTTTTTTAACAGAAACTTGCTTTTGGTGATAGACATATACTTTTTGAACAGATTTTATGGTTTGATGCATTGTGGTATTCAAAGGATGTACTGTGGTTTGATAATTGTGAAATTAGTTGTAGATGTTATTAGAACTTTAATCAAGAAAGCTGGAGGGAGGGGGAAGACGTATATGCATTTACCTGTAGATTGGGTAACTTTCCTCTTTCCATTTTGGTTTCAGAGCGTTCAGCCAGATTCTTCTTCTCCTCGACATGTGAGTTATAGGCATATGCTGCTGCACTTAACCCTGCAGAGAGAACTAAGAAACTCCACAGAGAATTGATCTTTTTGGTTTGATCTTTTGGGCATTTCTCTTACGTGCCCTCTCATAAGGCACAAGAGGCTTATGTTGCCTTAGTGTGTGAGAAGGGAACTGATACTATTCCCCCCCCAATGTTTGTATTTAGCAAGTCATGTCCTCCCTGTTTTAAGACCAGCTTTTGCTATAGAGCTGTTTGTCGTAGTTTTTTTAATGAATCTTTAGTATTCAAGCAGTTATACTGAGAAGTATTCTTAACGCTGAAATTTGCTATACTGGTATCAACTGACACAGCTTTGATGTTCTATTCTGGTCTTGTAGATCATTCACATAGTATTCACATAGACTTACATTTTTCACTCTGTTTAGGCTGAGTAAGCAATACTCTAGTGAGCATTAACATTTGAGCATGGAAATGTTAATGTGCTAGTGTTGCACAATATGTTTATATTCTATTATGCATCTGCTAGATTGCCAAGAAAAAATATTTTTGTTATTCTTTTTCATCTCTTATTAGGATATTATTCCTCTGCAGCAAGTAATATTATTTTTGATGGTAACTTGTATGTTTTAATGAACACACAAATACAGAGATATATATATCCCTCTTTACCCCCGCAGGAACAATATCTGAGTAATGAACTTTTATTGCTCTTTTTTTCAGACTTTACATATTCTCTCTTGCTTATGAAGCCTAGTCAGACTTTTTCTGGCATTTAGTATTGCAAAAAACATGCTTTAAAACTTAATGGAGAATAAGGGTGAATATAACTTAGTCTAACTTAATATAACTGTTGTCCTTGTTATAAAGCCACACAAAAAAGACTTACATCACTGCGGTGCAATGCATTAAGGATTTTATGAACAAAACTTAAGGATGTGACAGGACATTAATTGTTGAGCAGTGACTAAATTTTGATTCCGAAATTACCTGTAACAGAAGAGTATCAGTTACTTTTTCCTGCTAATTATGAAGCAAATGTTCTCTTTTCTGTTTTAAACAGGGTCATAATCGTATCATAGCCTATAGTAGGCCTGTATATTTCTGTTTATGCTGTGGTCTTATTTGGCTGTTGGATTATGGCAGCAGAAACATATCTACAACAAGATTCAGGTTGTATGGAATGGCTTTCACCAACCCATTGCTGCTGCTGTCAGCCAGGGACTTAGTTATAGGTGAGTGGCTTTGGGTTTAGTGTTTTTTTTTTCTTAACAGTTTTGAGTTGTTTACTTCACCACAGCAGCAGTCCCCACCTCACCCCCCAGCATCTTGTTATGATACTGTTGTATCATCACTTTTCTAAATGTAGTCATTTAGTTTCCATGGGAAGTGTAATTTTAGCTTTGCTGAAGTTTATTGGAAAATTCCCCCCTTCTATAGCTGTATTGTAAGAACTGCAGAAGTGTCAACTGGTGTAATTGTCATGGGGAGAAAAAGTTTTAGCTCTATCTAGTATCTTCATCCCTGAACCTTCCATTGTTTCTTGTATCTAGATATGCTACTTTGTTTGGATATAGCTGCTGAGTAGTTAAATGTTTTGATTTGGACTCTTTCATACTCTTCAGAGGGGCTTGTGGCAAGTGAGTAGGAGTTCCTTTAAATCAGGCTATTTAGCAGTCAGCTAGAACAGTATGGACACAATTTTGCTGTCCACAGATCTTAATATGTATCTTCTCAGATCAGGTCGGTCAGCAAAAATATAATTCTGGGCTGTATGAGTGTTTTTCTTATATTCTGAACAGCACAGTGCATTCACAGTACTGCTGGTATTTAACACCCCTCCATCCCACACCCCAAAAAAAACCCTCAAAACCCCAAATTTTTTTCCCCTGTTGTAGCTGTTACTACTTTCAATAAACTCTAAGTAATCTCAGGCAGAGCCTGAAAGAAAGGAGAGAGAGAGAACACAAAGATTGGAAGAACATCTTGTCATAGGCACTTTTGGGCATATTCTTTAATGGAGCAAAGTTATTTGGGTAATCCTCTCTGCATCACCTCTGTGGAGGGTAAGAAAATATGTAAGAATTAACCTAAATCGAGCACACTTGCTCTTCAGTCATACCAAAATACCTGTGTATAAAAGACTACAGCAGTTAAATGTTATGATTGCTTGCCTCCAATTTTTGGACAGTCTTCTGTCCAATGAAAGTTAACACTTGGTCTTGTTTCTTCTTCTTCTTTAATAAGAATTAGAGACTATTGTGAATTAGTTTTTATTACTTGATTTTTTTTTTTTAGGAACATCCTGAATTTCGTATCATGTGTTGTTTTGCCGCTTTGACTTTGTGCTGTTAAATCTATATTTAAATTTAAATGTCCAGACAGAAAAGGTCTAAATGACTTATGAACAGAGTATTGTCCAGGCCTTTCCAAAGGTGTTTTTCTAGAGACTATGGATCTATTCATGTACTGGCATGCTTAATTATAGACACTTTTGACTCAAGATATAAAACTAGCTTCATTTCCCCTTGTTTATGCTTTGTCAATCGCAGAAGGCTTTTCCCTTCCGTTAACCACCTTGAGTCATTGCTGTAATGTATATCCGTATCCCCATAGTGCATATGTAGGTGGTGTGTTGTAATGTGAAAGTGACCTACTTCTATTTAGAAGTCTTATCCATCTTTAAAAAGATGTGCTGAAGTCTTCACCAGGTTGCGTCCATTTTGGGAGAAATTTTTAAGGCTGTTTAGTTCTGAGTGCTTTTTGAGCCTTTTGTTTTACCGTTCTTCTTTGGTATCTTGCACCAACTTAGATTCTTTGTTTCTTGGCAGTTCTGCTAGTACAAAAAAAAGATTGCCAGAACACCTCTCACTTCTTAAGTCAAAGCAAAAACCTATACCCCCCCCACACACACATGCATGCCCTTGCCTTTGGAGCAATTCTTAATGTTGGTAAAACTGTTTAAAAAGCTTTGTGTGTATATTGCAAAGCAAGCTGGCTACTAGCAAACATACCTTGTTGGCATGAAGTAGAAATCTCAGCTGCCTTTTTTCCCATTCCCAAGCATAGCTACTCAAACAGCACAGGTGCAGGGCAAGGCAAACTTTGCGTTTAGATAACATAATTGCTGTGTCCTTGCCAACAGACAAGTGAGGACTGGTATAAATTTCATGAGTTTATTTTGTCCCACATATTGATCTATAGTTCTAAGTCTGTTCCATATTCATGATGATCTGGTTTTACCTATGTGGTCCCCATTAGGGAGTGATTCTGTCGCAGACTTTAAATCAGGAATACTGGGTTTTTACTGGACTAATCTCCCTAAATTATTTATTCGCAGATCTGTTTTGTAATTTTGTTTTCCATCAACCCAAGGTAGCTCAACTTCAGGCCTTCACAATACTTTTTCACCTCTCAGTGAGAGAAAGCTTTGCCTCACATGTAGGTGTCCTTGAGTAAAGATCTGACTACAGAATTCTGAAAAATATTTTCTTCAGATCCTGAGTAGCTGGTCCTTGTTTTTTTTCCCTATTTTGTATCAGTAGGAAGATGCAGAACTCTGTTTTTCCCAAGCCTTTAACCTGCATGTCTTTAAATTAGTTATTTAAGTTTAGTGAGGTGTAGGAAAAGAAAATCAGAATTACTTACCTCACTGTAGATACTTCAAAAGTGGTATCCTTTAGTATCCAACCATTCTATGGATATAAAGTTAGAAACTTAAAATTGAGGCTTGTGATTCTGCTGCTTCTAGTCATGGCAGCTACAAGTTAACGAGGTCATAAAATTCTTACCTAAACTGCTAGATTTTGCCTGCTAGGGTTATTTTCATGGCTAGATCCTTTTATTCTTTAGAACCTAGAACATAGAATGTGCTGCTGCTAGAGAGTTATATCTGAAGTACGTAACAGTTGTGTAAAAGATTGTTATTTATTCATATTCTATTCCTGAAATGGAAAATAAATGCTATTACAGGTTGGGACATAACATTGTCTATATTAAGTGGCCTTAATTTCTCTTTGCATTCTTAAATCCTGTAATTTGCAGACATTTTAATGGTTCATACAGTTTTTCCTTTTATTTAAAAGAAAAAAGTCATTTAGGATCAGAACTTTTCAGAGGTGGTGTGGGGAAAAAAGAGTGAAATTCAGATGCTCTTAGTGGCAGAAAACCCAGGGTGAAATGCTTGGTCTCTCTTACGTCAATGTGGCTGGTGTTACTCCTTAGTCCTGTAACTCCAGACAGGCAGTTAGGCTCGGATAAGCACTCATTTGCAATGAGTGAGAGCTTACAAATCTTCTAATCTGTAAACACTCTCGGCTGATGCTTGTGAAATTAAAATGGAAAGCCTGAATTGGCCTGTGTCCATTTCTACAGTGATTAAAAGGGAAGTGCAATAAGTCTTTTGACTGTTGATCTGTGCAACCTCTGCATTCAGTAAGTTCTGAGTCACTGGAGTGAAGATACATGTAATGGATGTTTTCCTTAGAAATAGTTATAGAAGTCCTTTAATGATGTTAGGTGGTGTGTGTGACACCATAGAACTTGAATTGAAGATGACATTATCTTGCTATATTTTTCATACTTACTTTTTCAACTTTTTTCTTCCATAGTGTTTACACTATGTTTTCCCATAGTATTCTTCATTGGTCTCCTGCCTCAGGTGAATACATTTGTGATGTATCTCTGTGAACAGCTGGATATTCATGTCTTCGGTGGCAATGGTGAGTGGTGTGTTTTTGTGTCAGTGACAGCAACATTAGATTAAGGGCAGCCATCAGATCAGTGGGGTAGTTACTAATAGTGTAATCACTAAATATTTTTTATTCCTACCATCTAAACATAGAATATTATTTTTTTAAGAGGCTAAAGGTCTTCTGATTACTGAAAACTAAAATTGCTGTCCTAGTAAGTCTGTCAAAAAGTGTACTTTCCTTCTCAGCTGGTTTTTGTTGCAGTTAACCATTTCCATAGTAATGCTGTTGAATAAATGAAGAGGCATATAAAGCCCCATAGGTTTTTCTTTATGGAAAAAAAGGGGGAACAATACAAGCAGTTGCTGTGGGCTTTCTGTGTCAGAGGGGTGTTGCAACTAGGGGGCTAATATCTTAAGTATTTTGTATTCTAATCTGATTGTATTCTAATCTAATTACATAACACTGTCTACTTTTCCTTTTCCTTTTTTATTTTCAGCTACCACAAGCCTGCTTGCAGCACTTTACAGTTTTATCTGTAGTATTGTGGCAGTAGCATTGTTGTATGGGCTCTGCTATGGTGCCCTGAAGGTGAGCAAAATTTTAGGGTTGGTTCTTTACTTCATATTATCTTAGATACTTAATTATATAGAAAATTGGAAATATTATCTGATTTTGTAGGGTTTTAGACTTGCTCAGCTGTGATACCAATAAAGGAGATGCAATGCAGAAACAAAACAGTTTTTTACTTCTAAAAGGTGTATGATATGTGTGTGCACTAACAGGTCAAAACCATGACAGTTACCATCATGTTTATGATTCTACATTTGTTCGGGGGGGGGATGACAGAAAATCACTTAAGAGGCTTGTTTCTACCACAGCTGTATTGGTTTGCTAATGTCTCAAAATGGCTCCTGTGACTATTTCTGGTTTGCAGCACTGGGGAAAAGTAATCTTTTCAAAATTAATCTTTACTTGAAAAGAAACCAGGAAATTGTTTGCAGTGTCAAAGTGAAGATGTGTGTAATCTTAAAAGGTACAGTTAGCTGGTAAATGTGATGGTGGGGGAAACCAAACCCAACTGTTTTTCCTTGCTTGAAGTGCCATTCTGTTTGGAAATGGTGTGGTATTGATTCTTTGATTTCAGATGTGTTGATAATCAAATGCTCTTGGTTCACAATTAGTTACAACATATGTGCCTTCCAACTTAGAATTGACTGGCTTTCTTCCATTCTGTCAGAGTAAAAAGTTGCTAGAGGTAGTGTTCCTGTGATGCTGTCACCTGCAGGTCACCTTTAGTGTGTATGTTTGTCTTATTAGCCTTTTAAGAACACGTGTTCAAGATAAACTTTAGCCAAGAGTCACTTTCTCTTTGCAGATCCAGTATAGATCATGGAAACAAATCCCTGGTTTAATCTAAATCCAGCACATTAGGAAAAAAAAATCCAAGTGAAAACATGTAACTTCCAAAATTAAGTGATTTAAATGCAACTCTAAACCTGTGGTCTCAAGGAATGCAGAAAATTATTCCTAAGGGGTATGAAAATGGATGACTGTTCAATAATCAAGATAGGGTAGGCTAAAGGGAGTTAGACATAGGTGAATATGCCCAACTAGGTAAACATTTAACAGTGTTTCTGTACTGAAAGGCTTGATCCATTTTTTGTGGAATTAAATTAATTATGTTAATTTTTCCATTCTCTTACTATGTTATCCATGATTTTTGTATATCAGATAAGTGTTGTATACTTTGTCTCGTTTTTATTAACACTTCATTTCTATCTCCAGGATTCTTGGGATGGGCAGCATATTCCAGTTCTCTTCTCCATATTTTGTGGTTTGTTAGTGGCAATATCATATCATCTCAGCAGACAAAGTAGTGACCCTTCTGTACTTTTGTAAGTAGTTTTTGTCCCTTCCCCAGGGAAGAAACAAGTTGCAAGGGAACCTTATTTATAATATTGGATATTGGTACTGTTTGAACTAGTAGTCAACAGCATTATCAAAAATATTGTATTGATTCAGTACTTAGAAAGAAGTTCTCAAATTTTGCACCCAGTTCCTCCTCTAACGGCAACCTTTCTTTGCCTTCTGGCAAATCACCTACATGTGAAAATCTGATTTGACTGCCTGCTGATTGTCTCCAAAATGCCAGTCAGGTGCCATCTTTCTGCTGGTGTGTTTCTGCTGAGCAACCTGTACCCATTCTGTATTTGAAGAGGTGCACAAAGTCGCAGTTTAAGCTGAAGCCCATGTGGATGTTTAGAACTGCTTCTCTCACTTAATTCATTATTGGGTTCTTATCTTGAATGTGTGCTCAGAGCACTTGTTCAAATAATTTCATCTCTGGTGTAAAACAAGCAACTGTTTTGGTGATGAGCATTCCTATCTAGCATGGGGAAACATGTATTCGTGTTGCCATTCTGAGCAGGAGCATTGATCTCATGGGATTCAGTTAATAATTATGTGTGTAAAACAAAACGATTCCGGTAGGAGAAACACCTCCCATAGAATAGCCAATAGAGGCTCAGTTACACACCTGGGCTAGGCAGAGCTTGAACTTGGATTTAAATTTAGCCCTAATGTTGGATGAACTTGATAAGCAGTAGTCTGGGGTAGATAGTGAGGGGCCTCTTCTGTGAACAGGGAGATTAACGATTTGTGAGTCTTCACAAAGAAGGAGACTTCTTATCTTTGGGTGGATGGCTAACCCTTGTCCTTTGATATGAGGTTCTTGTCCATAGATACCTGTTCTTGTTTTCTTTTCAAGTACTATAGGCTGGATGCTTATTTAGCCTGCAGATTCACCCGTTTAGATGTGGCATGATTAAGCTTGCAATGTATTGCGATATTGCCTTTGAAGATTTGTCTCATTCTGTAGTGAGCTTCCTGTCCATGAAATGAAGTAATACATATTTCTGTACCACACAGGCTATTGTAAGAAAAAAAGATCCCATTGAGGGGTTGTAAGACACTTAAGTACAGCTAACACTGCTGCATATGGTCTTCTGAAAGCTTAAATGCAAATTTCTGGGGCCTTTGTACCAGCAATGTCTGCTAAGAATTTAGTAGTTGGTCAGCATGGATACTTCATGAATTAATCAGGGTGGTATAGATTTTTGGTTATTGCTGCTGTTGAAGCTTGAATTTAAACCAAGGAATTCTTGGTTTTCTAATTGGTGTTGACAAATAGACCACTTCTAAACTTTTCACCAAGTTATATTTCAGTTATTTATGAACTGAAGTCTTGTTTCATAAGTACTTAAAATTCAGTACGTGTTCAGTTACTCCATTGGTAGTGGAGAAAGTGCTGTTTGAACAACATCTGGCTGCTCAACTTTAAGGGTGGTCATTGCATGTAACCAGTGAACTAATTCTTTTATAAAATTGAAAGCTCATCTGTGTAGATTTGCTCAGCTCTGTGAAAGCACTCATAGGCCAGAATCATTTTTTTTCTTGTAGTCAGCTTGTAATAGAAGTTTTGACTCTATTATTCATCTAAAATATTCTTCAAATAGAACAGTGCATGATTTTCAGTGAGTTGCTTTTTGTGTCTTTAAGCTCTTTAGTGCAATCAAAATTTTTTCCTAATTCTGAAGACAAAAACCCTGAGGATCCTCTGTCTGAAGTAAAAGATCCTTTACCTGAAAAGCTTAGAAATTCTGTGGTAAGTAGGCTTTTTAATTTTATTTTTATCTAAGCATTTACTATATGTTAGCTTGTATAGCATCAGTCTCGATCTTACTTAGCTAACAATACTTAGTTACCATGGTGTTGATTTAGAATGGCTATCAGAGCATTTCCTTTAAATCTGCAATGTACTACACTGAGAGTACAATGTTATATTGCAATGTAAGTTATTTAGAAGGAGGAATGAATTGGAATTATCATTCCCTAGTGTGAAGTCAGTAAAGTATCATAGACAATTTTCTTCTAGCTCACTGGTAATAAATGATACTTGCTTTTGTGCAGAAGTTAGTGGTGGCAAAACTATATTAACTCAGCATGTTTGGTAATTCTGAGCAAGAGCTTTGTGCCTGCTGATCCAGAAGCAGAAAGCTGGTTTAAAGTGATGTGAGGTTTTGGTTTTCTGGTTTGTTTTTTTTTTGGTTTGTGGTTTTTTTTTTTGTTTGTAGTTTGTTTGGAGGTTGATTGTTGGGTGATTTTGTTTGCTTTTTGTTTGTTTTGGTTTTTGTTTTGCATTTGTTTGTTTTTTGTTTGGCTTTTTTTTAAGAAGCAGATGTAACCTGTTCCAATTACTTTAGCATGTACTTGGAATTTTTAATACAAATTCACTCTATTTATGGAAATAATATTGAAACACTATTCTTAACACAGTGGAGCAGCAAGTAAAAGACTTAAGAAGCTTAGTATGTCTAAACTTAGAGATGCTGATGTCTGTACTTGGAGATGTTGGAGTGGCCCTAAGTACATATTGCCCCCTTGTGACTGAGCCTGGCATTTATACATTTTGTGGTTTTGCCTGTTGCCAAGAGCTTGTATTAGCTTTTTAGGGGTAATGGAAAGTTTAGACTTTTTTTATCAGGATTATTCCAAATCTATCCTTTATGCTTCTGCAAAGGAGGAGGGGAAAGTGTTAAAGAACCTCTTTGTTCTGCCTAGTTGTTAGCTCTGTCAAGGCAGCTGATGTCCAGAGTTCCCAGTTGCTCCATAGTCTCAGCAGTGATTGGATCATAAATGGGGAATTATGTTAGTCCTTCCAGCTTGTTCATCAGTGCTGTAAGGGATGGGATCAAACACCACCTCGAAGTCCAGAATCAGAGAGAGAATATAATGGATGTGTTAACTTCTCCTGCCCCACTTTGGTTGTTCGTCTTTCCACTTAACTCATTTGAACTAATGCTCTTAGCTGTAAGATTTGTTTTCTGGAATTTCTGAGAACTTCCATTTGAACGAATTAACACTGCCATCATTAGAAAATCTTCATTCATTTTCAGTGTAACTGTGATGGGCATTAAGAATCTGAAGAACACAAAGCTGGTGTTTTCTAAAATTATTTTTGTTTTGGCTCTGCAGAGTGAACGATTACAGTCTGACCTGATTGTATGTATAGTCATTGGTGTACTCTATTTTGCAATTCACGTCAGTACAGTATTTACAGTTTTACAGGTAAGGTTTTACATCATGTCTAGCATTTGTCTTCTACATATAAATACTCCAATGTGATATAAAGCTTTTCCTGGTAGTGTACTGGGTTTCCTGACTAGTTTTATATGGTCTTTAAATATGTTGTGTGACAAGTACATCTTCACGTTCCAGTTTTATGTGCTCAGAAACTCCTCTGCTCTTTTCTAGTGTCTTCTTATATTCTGGATTTTTACTTCAGTCACTAACACAGTGTCCTCTTCTGCTTCATCTATCTCAATTAAATCATGTCAGGAACATTTGGGAGCAAGGAAAAATGAAACTAAAAAGTCTAGAAGGCTTAATTCTTCAATACTGAGGGCCTGAATCTTGCCTTGGCAATTGCATGTTCATGTGGATGTTTGTAGACTATGGAATAGTGGAGTCCTGCTTTACTAGAATAGTTATTTACAGGACTTCAGTGAGCCTTTGAGTTTATTAGTCTAGCTTATACTACTGCTTCAGATACTTTTATGTGTATATATGACACCTATGTGATAATGATAACATGGGACCAAATCCTGTGTTTGTAAGGAAAGGCATTTGCCTAAAGCATTGCAGTTACTGAATTTCTTGTTTTGGTATTCCTGTAATGGCACTATCAGTTTATGAACAGCCTTCTGTCAGGCAAATTAAAGTTTCCTGCATTTATTTTTGAAGGATTTTACTCCCCTGCTGGTGCCTGCAGTTAAAGAAACTAATTTTAAAATGCATATATGTTTAGCTTCAGGTTTTCAGGTGAAGTGTCCTATTGAACCAGAAGTACTAGTTTTTCTTCTAAGGAAAATATCTCTTCTGTTGTACGGTTGGACTTCCGCGTTCCTCCCAAATGTTGCTTTCTCCCATGTTTGGAAAACTTGGCTATATGCTCTTCAGCAGTTCTATAGGCTTAAGCTTCACAGAATTTCTGAATCAAGATCTTATAACAAAGTAATGCAAGTCTAATTTTGTTATGATATATCCAGAAATTTAGAGAAAATTTTGATGTCTAGGAAGTGTTACTGTGAAATCTAGTCTTCATACCACTTTAATACAGCAGTATTTTGTGGCTTCTGTGAAAGAGCTTGGTTTTGGTGGGGGGCTTCTTATGCACCACCTTCTCAAGAGAATAGAAGGTTAATGATTTGTTTTTCCTTAGGCTCATACTTCCTTTTATCCAGCAGATGAAAATGTGAATTGGGTTCAGCCTTTAGAGGATAATGGGTGTATCATTTATAAAATGCAATGCAGATGGGTCAGAAGCAATGGCCTATGAAGGAAGATTGGTGTACTATTTTTACTTTAAGATCAAATAAGAAATGCTTGGAGAACAGATTTTCACTAAGTATTTGAAAGTGGGTAGTACAGCTACTCATGAACAAATAGGTTACCAACATACTATTACCCGGAGCGCCTGCCTAGATGCTTGAACAGTGTTACATTATTAGTGTATGATTTTGTTTATAAACCACAAACCTTAATTTCTTCGTTTCTTCTTTTTAGCCTATTTTAAGTTATGTTCTCTATGCATTGGTGGGTACGGTAGGCTTTGTGACCCATTATGTTCTGCCTCAACTCCGAAAGCAACTTCCTTGGCATTGCTTTTCTCACCCACTGCTGAAAACTAAGGAATACTATCAGTTTGAAGTCCGAAGTAAGTATCATTCGTGACACATTTTTGTATTTGCTGTAGTTGCTGACCAACTCAAGTTGCCTGTTGATGCACTTAATCTTTTTGTTATTATTCTTACCTCTTGAGCGTTTAATGACATCTAATCTAGAAATATCTTAGTTTCTTGTGCTTCGATTCCATGATATTTATCTCTTAACTGACGTTGATAATGTATTAGACGTGCTAACTTTGTCTCAAAGCAGTTCCATTAAAGCACAGTCTTCAAAATCTTAAGTTGCAAAGCTTGTTCTAATGATTGCCTTAATTTTCATGAAGGCAGAGTGTTTTTCACTAGGCATTTCTTCAAGATCGTAAGTTTTTGATTAGGTATGGTGAATGCTGTTAGAGATTTGATCTTTGCATGCATTTGATTCTTAATGCTATCATTCTGTTTAAGAACAGAAAGTAGTGCAAGGTGCCTACTAATTGAAAAGCACACGAAGGGTTCATTCTTGCAGATCTGATTGATCTGCATAGACACATACTTGCACCTTGTGTTAAAGTCTACATTTCCATGAAATCTTTCCTTGGAGGCTGCAGAAAATACAGTGCTGATCGGTTGTCCAGTATGGGTAAATGTAGTGGTAGATTGCAGTGTCTCCACTGTTGCAGTGTTTTTATTGTTAACAGCAAGCAGAAAAAGTTTCTATCAGAAATGGCTTAGAAACAACTGAAGCCACTTGTGATTTTTCTCTTCAGTTAGTTTTGAAGGTAACTCAGTAGTGAAAAAAAAGCAAACATTTTGCTGTTTCCAGAAGCAGAGAATTATCAAAAGTAGTTGTAATATGCTAAACTATTTGGAGGAAGAAGTGAAAAGTGCAATAGTATAATTGTATGTATTAGGTTTTTGTGTTTTTTTTTTAATCTGTTAAACTACAGAAGCTGCAGTTGGTGCCCTTCCGCTGATACTTAATTTCAGTATTTCCATATGTAGCAGTGTTTTCAGGAAAGTTGGAAGTCCTATCTAGTAATGTTAAATATAAGTTTTTAGCATTTCCCAGTTTGATCCCTGCAGCTTAGAGAATTTATGCCATGTCAGTGACTGATAGTCCTTATGGCATCTGGCATAGAAAAGGAACTTCAGTTTTTGCTGGGGCTCATCTTGGCATGTGCAGTTGCATGTGTCTATTCCACTTTGTAAAATAAATTTTCTCATCATCTACATTTGCATTACTTTGAACTATGGCAATCCTGTTATGCATTTTGTAATTGCTGTGGAAGTTTGAAAGAAGTTCTGATGTCTGAAGACATCTGTGTTGGCAGGTTACATGTGCTCTTCTATATTGTAGTCATAAACCAGAAATCTTTTGGTTTGAATATGATTGGAAAACATCCTTTTGCATGCGAGAATGCGTAATGTCAGGTAGCTTCATCAGTATTGATGTTGAAATTACTGAAGAGGTGACAACCGGGTTTGTGTCCTGCCATGTGCAGAAAGCAAGTAGCTTGCAAACTGTAATGTGTTTTGTATAGGTGCGTAACAGTGCAAAAACTCTACTGAGGCTGCCAACAGTAGCTTAACAAGAGCTTCTCTTTATTTTGGTTAGATAAATTTAGGCAAGTCCAGTGTGAAAATACAGTTAGCGTTTGGCTCCACAAATCACTTGGATCAAGAATCTTCATTCTGCTAGCTAAGTTGGATTTGGCAGTGCAATCTGACTTCTTTTTAATATATCTTGATAGGTGCTGCACATGTTATGTGGTTTGAGAAACTTCATATTTGGCTCCTTTTCATAGAGAAGAATGTTATCTATCCACTGATAGTCCTCAATGAGCTTAGTAGCAGCGCTAAGAATATTGCTAGTCCAAAGAAACTGGATACTGAGTAAGTAGAAAAGGCTATCAAGTAATCTGAGTATGTTTTCTGTGGTGGGAAATTAAATAGTGAGTTCTGGCCTCAGTGTGGAGGCAGTTAATGCTATTGCCTTTAAACTAAGGTAACGAATAAAATTTTTCTTTATTTGCAAGCTCTTATAGAACCAATTCACTTTGATTTACATTGAATGGAGTATTACAGTCTTAAACTAGGAACCCAATTCATAGCATACACTGTAAAGATTGTAGGTTGCAGAATTATCTAGTAGTGTGATATCAGAATTTCCTTATTGATCTTCAGAGTCTATGATATCGAGACTGCAAATTCAAGATAGCAGCAATATGTTCTGGTATTTTGTCAGATGCAAATTTATGACTTGTGTAATGTTTCCTGAGTTGATATGTCAGTTTACAGCCCCTCTACAGCTTTCTGCTCTCATCAAGAAACTCCCCAGGCCTTGTGGCCCCTGAGTATAATCTGTATCCAGATGGAATTGCATACTGCCTCTTAAATTGAGCCTTAGTTATAATCCCCCAAGTATGTGACTGTCTCAGCAAATGAGAGTTCAATAATAGGTCCTGCATTTTTTGCCTTCAAGAACAGAGACCAAGTAGCTCTTCTTGAAGTTCTATTGATTAAGAACAGAAGTGTTTCAGAGAAAATAAATCTTGACACAAAATGGAGTGCTGGGGGGGAGGGAGGAGATTCTTTGAGTGAGGGGTTGTTTTGAGGTGTTTTGTGCTGTTTTTTGTTTTGATTTTAAGATTAATAATCCCTGGATCTATTAAATTCTTGCTTTAGGTTCATTACTCTTGTCACTGCAAGATGTTTGGAAGGAATGTTGCCATTACATTAACATTATTTTTTACAACCCTTTGATCTGTCAGTTACTGTCTCTGAAAAAGAATATTACTAAGTTTATCATTAAGTCATGGTTCTGCCAATATAAACTAGAGCAGTATAGTCATGAGGAAACAGTGATAATCCAGTGTTCATTAACATCCTCTTGCTGATTAATCTGTAGCAGTGCTCGCATTTTTACATCTCAATATTCATAACCTAAATTAAAAACCAGATTTTCTGTTCAGAGTACAAGGATATTTTGCCTCCTGATTTAGCGAGACTTATAAATAATGCTAATCCATGAACACTGGTTTGAGAATACTGTTAGAAAGATGAGGAGAGTAGCCTTTAAATACAGATAAGATGATGTTGTCTTTAAAAAAACAACAAATTAAACCCCACGTAGCCACCCCCTACAAAACTCCAAAAGCAAACATAAATCTAAAGCTTGAGTTTGAGGAGATTGGCAGTGCATGACAGTAACAATTTAGGTGGTCTTTAAAGCCTTTTTGGGCAGGAGATAAGTAACTGTTTTGTGTGAATTTCTTACGCAGGTTGGGTGCTTTAATGATCACAATAGCTGGCTTGAAGTTACTGCGTTCATCATTCAGTAGCCCAACGTGCCAGTATGTCACTGTTATTTTCACAGTGCTGTTCTTTACTTTTGATTACAAAAGTTTTACTGAGACCATGCTGCTAGATCTCTTCTTCATGTCCATACTCTTCAGCAAGGTAACTTTAACTCTCTCTTTCTAGGTGTTTCAGGTCTCCCAAAAGGGAAATCAGATAGCCCTAATTGATAGGTAAACTTGCAGAACATCAGTCCTACTGATACTGTAACCAATATGCTATGAGACAGCTAAGACTTCTCTTCCCAAAGCACTTGTTTGCTTGAGAAAGCAGATGTGACCTAAACATCTCATCAGTTTCTGGTAGTAGAGCAATGAATTGCATGTTAAAGATAGTTGTTTTATTGTTATAAAGATACTTGGTTTTGTAAGTCTCCAGGTTTCTGGTAGACCAGTAAGAACTTCAGGGTGACCAGTAAAATCCTCAGGATATTTGAGTACTGCAAAGCATGTTGATTCTTAGCCAAATCACTAAATTATTCTTCTTTTTTTTTTCCCTGTAGCTTTGGGAACTCTTTTATAAATTGAGGTTTGTATATACCTACATTGCTCCCTGGCAGATCACATGGGGATCTGCCTTCCATGCTTTTGCCCAGCCCTTTGCTGTGCCACGTATCCTTTGAAAGTGCAGACTTTTTCCTGAAGTCATGTGTTAAAACTTCTGAATGTTACATTGTAATGAATTGTATGGTATGGGCTAAAGCTACTGAAGGAACAGGTTTGTCTAGTGAGTATTTATCAAAAACTGTTCATGCTTTCTGCCTTGCTACAATGCTTCTATAGACTGGTTTGAATGGAGTGTTGAGAGAGGACCCTCTGTAGAATTTTGAGGAAAAGAATGACCACAGTGTCTACTGCCAAATTTTCAGCTATTTCTATGTTTAAAAACAAAATATTCCCCTTATTGCTGAAAATACAGTAAAGATGCTTTGTTGTGTAAAAATTCTAGAGATACTATTTTGGTCTTAATTGGTGTTGCTGTCTGTTTTGGATACTATCACAGGAGCTTGTACAATAGTAGTTGTTGCTTTGCTTTCCTTAATTCTGTTATCCTACAGATTCTGCAATGTTGTTTGTCCAAGCAGCTGTGTCAGCTTTCTTCTCTACTCCACTGAATCCTTTTCTGGGAAGTGCAATATTCATCACTTCATATGCCAGGCCTGTCAAATTCTGGGAGAGAGACTACAAGTAGGTGAAATAAAACCTTAAAGTTTGTCCTTTTGTTTTTCTGTACAAATGTATTGGTTTTGGGAAGTTGTTGGCATTTTGGTTTGAGGGGTGGGTTGCTGTGTGTTTGCCTTTTTTACTTTTTACGTCTCCAAGTGCTGCTTTGTTTTCCCAGTTTATAGTACTGAGTGTTTTCAATGAACTTGCTTCTGAAATGCTGTAGCAGCTGGTTTTTATACTAGCAACATTAGCTTCTTGAGTAAAAAGAGTGAATTTATGTACAAGAAGGTTTTGAGGGGCAGTTCATAACTGTATTTGACCTGTGTTTACTACTGCTTGTTTCACAACTAAAACTGGCTAACCTCAATATAAATATCTTTTAAAGTAAATCATCTTTGATCAAGGTGGGATCAGTAGTAAAAGATTTTTTTATGTCAGATTATACCTTCCTGTAGTTTTATTTGTCTGAAGTCCAATATTTTTGGAGATCAGACCAGTAAAATGTTTAACAGCATAGGGCAAGATGAGTGGATAGTTCTGTTATTTGTGGAGAACTCTTTCATTTCGCTGCTTTATTGCCTTTTTTTTTTTCCATTCTAATACTGGAACAGTTTAAATATAGTATTCCCAGAGTTAAAGTTGTAACTTCAGCCAGTGAAAGAACTTTCTGAAAATTTCCCTTTCAGTAAAGTCTACTAGAATGTTAGCTGTGCTGCTTTATTTTTTTCACTTTGTCACATCTAAAGCTTTATGATACTTATCTAAGAAAATGCATACATTTATTATCTCTAAAGCTAAATATTATTCTATGGCTGCCTACTGTGGGCAAACTTTTTGGTATTGGATCATAAAACAGAAAATACTATTACATATGAGAAGAGCAGCAAATTTGAATATAAAATAATTTCAAACAACTTTTTGAAACTTTCAGTGGGAATATTTTTATTAGTTTTTATTCTGTTAGTTACTTCTTCCCTTAGATTTTCTTGCAGTAATACATTTTGTGTTAAGTATGCTTTATTGTATGATTTTTTCAGTACAAAACGTGTGGATCACTCAAATACAAGACTGGCTTCACAGCTTGATCGAAATCCAGGTGCCTTTCCTAGTCTGGGTTTTCTGTGGTTTGGGTTGGGTTTTTTGGGGTGAAGCAGTTGTGGTGGGGTTTTGGGTTGGTTTTTTTGGGGGGGAGAGGAGGGATGGTGTTATAGGGCCTTTATAGGGTTCATGATTAGTTTGCCTTTGATCTTCTTCAACTCTGCCCAATGTTTGGCTGTTTTCTCCTCCATTATCTCATTCTTGCTTTATTCATTAGACACTCCGATAACTTTCTTGTTTCCCCCTTACGTCTGTGTCTGTGCTTTACTGCTTTACTTACAAGCATCTGCATTAAGCTGTTTTGCTTTTTAGTCTTATGTAATTTTAAAAAGGTAAACGTTATCTGAGGGACTCTCAATGTCATGTGATGTACAGTACACAGTCATTACCGAGATACTTTTGTGCTCATTTGCTTTTGCCCTTTGTGTGGAATAGATGGGTGGGAGATGCAAGAGTAGAACTGTAGGAGTTACGAAGGGGAAAAAACTGGTCAAAAATACTAAATGTCATGTAGCATTCACTTGGAGTTGTCCCTTAAGGGGGTTGTGTGTGTAGAGAATGACCTTGAAACAATGTTAAGAAAAGTGTAGGATGGAATGTGAAGTGATACCTGACATTCAAGCTTGATGTTCTTCTGCAGGTTCAGATAATAACCCACATCCAATCTTCCTGCAGGTTCAGATGATAACAACCTGAATTCAATCTTCTATGAACATTTAACCCGTTCCCTTCAGCACAGCCTGTGTGGAGACTTATTGTTGGGTCGGTGGGGAAACTATAGTACTGGGGACTGCTTCATCCTAGCCTCTGACTACCTCAATGCACTAGTACACCTTATAGAGATAGGAAATGGCTTGGTCACCTTCCAGCTGAGGGGGCTTGAATTCAGAGGTGAGTGTGTTACACTCTTTCCTTAGCTGTCTGTATTAAAAAATGGAATTCTGCTTTGGAAACTTAAGTTACTTCCAGTTCCATCCTGTAAAGAAATTGCTTTGAAAAGGGGCTGTAGGGCTGCTTCATGCCTGTGTCTTTTATGAGGGGAAATCTAGCTTGCTCTAGCAGAGTTGATGCTAAGTCTCTGTTTCAGTTTTAGTGCAATATGGCTACTGTAATTGAGTCTTAGATACACCTAATTAAAATGTGATCCTAGAGTGATTAAGCAAGCTATCCAAATCTTGTGTTTAATGGCAGATAGGTCACTTGGTGCTACAGGAACATAATTGGAGATGGGTGGTATTTTAAACACTTTCGAACACATGTCAACATTAAGTCAATCATATAAAGTGTTCAACTCTTTCTTCTTTCTCTGCTTTCTCCTAAGGGACTTACTGCCAGCAACGAGAAGTAGAGGCCATCACTGAAGGTGTAGAGGAAGATGAAGGCTTTTGTTGCTGTGAACCTGGCCACCTTCCTCACATGCTTTCCTTTAATGCTGCCTTTGGGCAGCGTTGGCTGGCTTGGGAAGTGCTTGTGACAAAGTATGTTCTGGAGGGTTACAGCATCACAGACAACAGTGCGGCTTCCATGCTTCAAGTCTTTGATCTCCGGAAAATTCTCACCACTTACTATGTGAAGGTATGATTCAGATCAGTACAACCGTTGGGGAAGGTAGACTGGATTTGGATTACACCTAGAAACTGCTTAATGTCTTGAACTTCTAGTGCCTTTCATATAAGGATCACAGATGTGATACCTATTACAGATGTATACCTTCATCAAAGGAGAGCAGTTTGCTGTCCTGCTGATTACATGATACTTTGGTGCATGAGCAGGACAATGACTGTAGTCTTCCTAGCTGAAGCTGCAGTAGTAACTTGAGAGCTGTTACCCAAACATAACAGCTGTGTTGTAAATAGTTAAGAGAAGTTAAATAGAGTGTTCTGTCCTGGAGAAAGACAAGCTGTGTTGGTCTTTAGAAGCTGTCCAAACCAGTTTTTTCTTTATTTTTTCAAATACAAAAAAATACCTGTCCTAGAATTGCAAGAGGACGTCCAGGCCTCTGATTCCTTCAGATAATCAGTTGACTAATTGAGATCTTTCATAAGCTACTCTCTTTGAGAGCTGAAAATTTGTAATTTGAAATATTTCCAAGATATTTATTCACACAGAAGTTGTTGTTTTCCCACTCTTCCTCCCCTCTCCCCAAGCATGAGAATGTTAAAACTGTCTTGTCATTTACTTGGCCTTGGAATTATTTAGAAATTCAATGTCTAAGCCTCCATGTTAACTAGATAAAAACTCCTTTGTATTTTTCTGCAAATTTACAGTGAGAATCCTGTCCCATCCTTTTTTCCTTTCCTTATTCCTTCAGTGGATGCTTCAAAAATCTCAAGTCTTTGAATAACATGTCTGCATGCAAACCTGTATTATTTTCCATGTAAACTTGCTGCATCTGTGAGCCAAATAAATGCTACTGTGTATGAGGTTTGTTCATCACCAAGAAAATAATGCAAATGAGTTGAAACAGTTGAGATTGCTGGCTCTTATTTTATTGCAGTACTGACTCATATTTTTAACTACTGCTGTTTCAGGGAATCATCTATTATGTCACAACATCCCCCAAGCTAGAGGAATGGTTAGCTAATGAGACAATGCAGGAAGGACTGCGGTTGTGCACAGACCGCAATTACGTTGATGTAGACCCAACATTTAACCCCAATATCGATGAGGATTATGACCACCGTCTAGCAGGGATCTCAAGAGAGAGTTTCTGTATGATATATTTGAACTGGATAGAATATTGCTGCTCTCGAAGAGAAAAGGTGAGTATGGATGTGTGAGGGAAGTGCACTCTGGTTTGACCTGCAGGCTGCTTAATACTGACTTTTTTAAAATAAATGAGATTTTTAATTGAATATTAATTTAAAGTTTAGTCGCTTTGATCTGCTCTTGAGATGTGAGTTTAAATAAATTCTGTAAGTAGTCTGTGATTTAACCTGTTCTTTAATGAAATTTTTATTTACCAGCTTGAACCTTAGTCAGGCATTTGTCTACCTACAAAAGAATATAGAACTGATGTTTTTGTGCTTGGATATCAGTGTTTACAAATCAACCCTAACTTAAACCCCAGACCACTCCAACTGATTATCTGTTGCCAGCTTATAAGAGTGACCACTTCTTTCTTAGTGGTCATACTCTACAGTTCCTGTGGACCACTGAAATTATTGGCTTGTGAAAATGATCATCCCATATTTACCCTTTTCCTCTCTCCATATCCTTCCACCTTTTAAGCAGAAACATCAGTACATTTGTAGAGGGATACTGTGACTTCTTACTGTATACAAAAACCTATGTGGTCAAGTCAAAGTAGTGTTGCCTTTGAGAATGAGATTAAAGGGTCAGGAATATAATTGGAATTTGGGATCTGAGACTTAAGAGTTCAATTTTACTTTGGAGGTAAAAGATTAATTAGAAGTCTGTTTTAACAGGTGTGAGACTTAATGTTCTGCAGTCACATGACAAACAATAGCTGAAGAACATTGCTTCCTTCTAAGTACAGTCTTGTGAAAAATTTTGTGTAGGTTTTGAAAATCGGGTTTAATCACTTAAATGAATTCTACTATTATATAGGGCATTATATACCCTATGCAGTTACTAATGGTTTTGAGCTGAGGCTGAGTTCTTCCTGAATAAAGCTGTAGGCCAGGGAAGTTTCCTGAAAACTCAGAATTACATACTCCAGTAAGTGAAAATCCACTTTTTTGACAAAAAATATCATAGAATCACAGACTGGTTTGGGTTGGATAGGACCTTAAGATCATCTAGTTCCAGCCCCAACTGCCATGGGCAGGGATGCCTGACATTAGGCCATGTCACCCAAGGCTTTGTCCAGCCTGAACACTGCCAGGGATGGAGCATTCACAACTTCCTTGGGCAACCCACTTCCAGTGCCTCACCACCCTTACAGTAAAGAACTTCCTCCTTATATCCAATCTAAACTTCCCCTTTTCCAACAGTTCCATGTCTTTTTTTATGTTGAGGACACCAGAACTGCACACAATGCTCCAGGTGAGGTCTCATGAGAGCAGAGTAAAGGGGCAAGATCACCTCTTTTGACCTGCTGGTCATGCTCCTTTTGACGCAGCCCAGAATGTTTGGCTTTCTGGGCTGGGAATGCACACTGAAACTGGCTCATGTTCATTTACTCATTGACCAACACCACCAGATCCTTGTCCTCAGGGCTGCTCTGAATATCTTCTCTGCCCAAGCTATAGCTGTGCCTGGAATTGCCCCAACCCAGCTGTTGGACCTTGCACTTGGCTTGGTTGAACTCCATAAGGTCGGCATTAGCCGGCTCTCAAGCATGTCAAGGTCCCTCTGGATGGCATTCCTTCCCTCCAGCGTATCAACCAAACCACACAGCTTTGTGTCATCGGCAAACTTGCTGCGGGAGAATATTACTGTCTTAACCCCATAGTTTCGCTATTTGACAGTTTGCATACAAGGTACACAGTATCCATGAGGAATGTTGCAGGCAACTGTTAAGCCTAGGATTTGTCTTATTTCAAACGTAGTATGTGTGTGTCTGCCTCTGCAAGTATTTTACGTACTTGCAAAACCTTTTTAAAAAAATCCAAGCTCCTGTTGAAAGTCTGAGCAAGAAGAACTGGTGTGGTAAGTACATGCACAACACTTGAGTGTGTGTACCTTTGCATGTGTTTGGGTCTTTTTACTGCTGGCAGAACAGCTTTTCTGTGGCCATTCTTTTACTTTGTTCACCTGACTATTCCTTTTTTTTCCTATTATTACAAGCCGCTGGATGCAAGTAAAGACTCCCCCCTGGTGACATTGTGTTATGGACTGTGTGTTCTGGGGCGGAGAGCATTGGGAACAGCTTCACATCACATGTCAAGGTAATAAAGTGTTGTTGTGATCTTCTCTTCCTCAAAATCCCTGTGGCTTCCTAGGTTAGGTATTCAGTACCTCTTTAGAAAAGAAAAAGATATTAAGTATCATCTTAAACTGGACAGATATGCAACTTGCCTGTACTACATCAGCCCGTGAAATGTAACCAAACAGCAAATAAGGGAGAGCTTGAATTTGAGTAGTTTGTTTTAGTGAGCAAGATAGGAATTCTGGTGTGGGTAAGAACCAGTTATATAACTGATGGAAACTGGCTGAGTTCTAAAAGTAAATTCCATATCCTTCAAGTATGTGCCCTGTATGGAAACAGAGTGAAGAGGACAGCTTCTTAAAATGAGGAACATGTCTTGATGCAAGTTAGATCAGGCCATAGTGTGTAAGTTTCACAGTTCAGCTGGCTCTGTGGCAAGCAGCTGCATTTCCTAAGAATCATCTTCAACTCAACTCTGTCATCATATGGCAGTCTCTTCCTTGCAGATTAACGGCCTCAACTTAATTTAGAAAGACTATGTAAAACGTAGCTGTACGTTTCAAGAAATCACGAGGTGATGGCTTAAAAAGAAAATAGAGAAGCATAAATGGATGTGGAAGCCCTTGGCCAGCTTGGTGCTGACTGTGAAACCTATTCTGCTTTGCTTTCAGGGAAACTGTTGACTAATTAAATATCAGCCAATTGCCCCTTGAAGGTCTTGCAGATATGCACCAGCAAGAGTGATCATAGCATATTTGATCTCTCATTTTTAAGTTAGCATAGTAAAAGGAGCAATCTATGCCTTTGAGTAAGACAGTTGTCATGATTTTTATATTATACTAAAGCATGCACAACTGAAGCTGCATTGTCTCCTTAACTGAGCCACTGTGGTGTTATATTCCCTGAGAAGCGTTCTTTTTGTAAATGTTTGTAATAAAGTCGGGCTTTCCTCACAGTGTTCCTCTTTACTTTAGTCTGTGTAAAGAGACTATTGCGTGTATGGTTTATTCATTACTTGCTCAGTGCATATAAACATCTATTGTCCAAGCTTTGCTTATACACACATCCTTGCTCTTATGTTCTCCCTGTCTTATCCTGTAAGTTATACTTAAGGAGAAGAAAATGTGAATTTTTGTGCAGTTTGGTATCTTTTGCTCTTGTCAGTGATGAACTTGTGGGTATGTTTGTATTTCTATTAATATTTGTGCTGTTTGCTTCTTTTCCTTCTGCCCCCCCCTTACCAGTAATCTGGAATCCTTCTTGTATGGCCTGCATGCCCTATTTAAGGGTGATTTTCGTATATCTTCAATTAGAGATGAATGGATCTTTGCTGACATGGAACTGCTGAGGAAAGTAGTGGTTCCTGGAATACGGATGTCACTTAAGCTACATCAGGTGAGAGATTACACAGGAGGATATGTGCAGTTCTTTTTATTTCTGTGCAGTCGTTATTTTAAAAATAAGCTGGGAGAGAGCAAAAAGAGGAAGAGAACAGAAGGGCATATGATAGTGATGGACAACTGAAAACGAGGGAATATCTTTATCTTGTCCTTTGTTTCGTTATAGCTCATGTCGAAGGTGATATTGAGGAAAAGGGAATGCAGTTTATGCTCAAAGCTTGAAAATTACATCAAATGTTCAGAGAATGTCAAGCCCTGTCTCATATTCATCTGGAGATTATTCCCTTGTGAACAGCATCTCTGAAATTTTGCTGCACTCTTCCCCTCCCCACATAGATGTAATTGGTTTAGAAGGTTATTGTGCCGTTTAAAGCTGCACAGCCCTTTCCTCCAATGGGAGTTGTTTTTCTTGTTCTCTTTTCTTTGAATTGTTTTAGTAACAGACACTTTGGAATTACTCATTGATGCTATTAGTAAGATTTAGGTAAGAATGAGGTTGATTTTTCAATAAACTGAAATTGGGATTGATTTTTTTATAGTGAAGTGAGGGCAAAGATGAGCAATCACAAATTCTGTCCAGGCCATCTGTGAACTAACCTCAGCAAGTATGAGAAAGCATGTACTTGAAAGATAGGCCCTCTGTGAGAATGAGTCTGTTTGGAAAAGAGCTCATCTTTAACCATGTCCTTTAGTAGGTACCTGATAATTTTTGGTCTGCCTTCACTGAGCTTCCTAAGAGTTTGAGGTGTGAAAGGTTTGATATTTTTTTTATGTAGTTACATCTGAAATATTAACCAAATCTTACCGTATGTGCATTCTTGGAAACAGGATCACTTCACTTCTCCAGATGAGTATGACGATCCTTCTGTCCTCTATGAAGCCATAACAACCCATGAAGAAAATCTAGTTATAGCACATGAAGGTGACCCTGCTTGGAGGAGTGCAGTTCTTTCCAATTCTCCCTCCCTCCTTGCTCTGCGTCATGTGATGGACGATGGCACCAATGAATATAAGATCATTATGCTGAATAAGCGGTATCTCAGTTTCAGGGTCATCAAGGTAAGTCTTGTGCATGTTTCACAATGTGATGGTATGTTGTGTATTTTTAATAACTATACCAAACCGCTACTTCAACTCAAAACACTGCTTTTTTTACTACCAATGTCATTGCTAGGGCTGCCTCTTCTCATACAGTGGAAGTATCTAATCAGAAAATCAGTTTCTGACTTAAAATATCTGTTTCTCATCCCATTCTTAGATTTGCTTTATTCTTGCTGTTGCAGCCTGTGTCCAAAAGTTCAGCTTTGTGAAGAATAAATATAAATGCTTGCAGTTCTGCAGTGCAGTATTACATAAATTCATGGAGACCTAGGTACAGCAAAGCACACGGTCATTGTTTCCTTTTCTGACACAGCCTTTCTACTTGGCTTTTGCAGGTGAATAAGGAGTGTGTGCGTGGCCTGTGGGCAGGACAACAGCAGGAGCTTGTCTTCCTGCGTAATCGTAATCCAGAAAGAGGAAGTATCCAAAATGCAAAACAAGCTCTGAGGAACATGATCAACTCCTCCTGTGACCAGCCAATTGGATACCCAATCTACGTCTCACCTTTGACTACTTCCTATTCAGATAGTCATGAACAGCTGAAGCAGATTCTTGGGGGAGCTATCAGCTTAGGAAACATCAGAAACTTCATAGTGTCTACATGGCACAGGTGAGCTGAGAAAATGAGTTCTCATTTACTATGTGTTAGTACTCTCATATTCCATTAACTAGTCTCAGTAACTACTGCTATTAACTATGCCTACCACAGTTTAATTTTGTAATATTCAGTCACATAAAAATAAGTCTTGTTTTTTGTTTTAAGCATATTTGTAGCATATGGCAACTGCTTTGGTTCAGGATTAATTTCAAGGCATGGAAGTAATGCACCACAAATTATGTAAATGAGAGCTTGGAAAAAAAAACAGGACGGAAAATACAGATGCAAGAGCTACAGCTCCAGTTCTAATCTCAGGTCTGACAACGAGAGACAATACAACCTGTTTTTTTTTCAGTACCATCGCTTTTGCAGTCTACAATATCATTTTTACAGTATCAGGACTGTTTGGTAGGGTTCCTGTCTGGCAAATATTTAGCATGCAAATGCAGTATTAATGCTGTTAGACTATACTCATCCATAGTAACACATGTGTTAGCTGCTTAGAATTTCATGAGTGCTTAGAAATACCCAGTGTGTCAGAGCCAGAACAAGTAACTGGAGTGATAATATAATCTTCCCTCTACATGGCCCCCCCTGTAACCCAGTACAAACTCTTCCTGTGCTGTATCTTACAGGCCATGAGAACTTGTACTGAAGGTCTGGCCACTTACGACTGTGGCTCCAAAAGCAACAGTGGCAGCGGTGTGTGGCATTCAGAAATGTGTGCTGGTTCTTGCTGGTTCTTGCCAGTCCTGTAGCTGTTTTGATGGTCATATTTACACTTGGAGATGTATAGCACATCAAACAGAAGGTGCTGCTTCACCCCAGAATATGCCACACTTACTACTGTCTGTGGTGTTTTTCTTCTTTTGCCATCTGCTTGTCTGACACATGGATAGAATAACAGGTGAAAGTATGACACAGAACAGTGTATGGAGCCAAGCTGTATATGCTTTGGGATTCTGAATCTCGGGGCAAATACAGTCACAAAGGAGTGCTCAATTGTTTGAGTGCAACAGGAAGAAAAGAGTAATAAAAAGTATGAATTGAAGAAAGGAGGAATGTGCTGTGGTTTTTTTGTCCATCTGAAGTTCATTAACGCAAATGATGCAGTGAAAAGCCTGTATGATTATATCCAGTAGAAAACATTGTCTAACTTGCTGTCTGAATATTCAGAATTCACATGAGAATTTGCGATTCAGATAATGGCAGTATGTGCTTCAAACAACTGTATGTTACTGAAGGTAACAAGAAACCAAATACTTTCAAAAGAAAAAATAAACAAACCAAACAAAAAACACAACCCCCTAACATTTCAGGTCATCTGAATAGACAAAGTCTATTGCAGTCTAACAATACACAACTGATGTGTTAAAGAGCGTAAATTTTACTAAACTATTACAAAATAACCAAGGTGTTCTACCAGCATTTTTATTTAGAATTTTATCTCTATTGTATTTCAGAAGTGGCTTGATTTTTCAAAACCTACTTCATATGAGCATTTGGCTTACTATAAATTACTGTTACTTCAATAGTTGTCATGAAGAAAATTGCAAGCTCTTAGAAAGCAGCATTTATATTTGTGAAGCATGTTCTGAGACAAAGTCAAGTTTTATGTGATTTTTGGGGAATGCTGTGGATTGTGCTGAGTAAAGCCTTTTGCCTGTCATCATAAGGCATTTCTTAGAATCATAATGATTAGGAGGCCTGACAATATGTCAATTGCATTATGTTTTCAGACTAAGGAAAGGCTGTGGAGCTGGCTGCAATAGCGGTGGAAATATTGAGGATTCAGATGCTGGAGGTGGAGCTTCTTGCACAAGTAACAATGCAACTATCAATGAGTCTCAGAGCAGCATGTCACAAGGAGGAGGGAATGCAACTACAGGGCAGGGACCTGGAGCAGTACAGCACCCTCCTGTTGCAGCTCATCCGACAATTCTTCCTGCAGCTCATCCACCAACTCATCCCTCCACCTTGGGTAAAGTTGCTTTGTTTTATTTTAATGACTTTATACAAGTACAATATTATTTAATGACTTTATACAAGTACAGAGGCAGAACTGGCCTTTCAGGTCTTTGGATCAGGCCTAAGTTACAAGATAAAGCAAGCAAAAGTGATTTGATGTAGTGTTAATACCTTCTGGATTCATCTCAAACTACAGTATTGCTTTCTGCAAAGCAAGGTTCCCAGACAGATTGGAGCAGTAGGGGTATAGTTGTGCTGGCAAAATAGATTAAATAACTTTTATAACATGTTTCTACAGATAGGATGGTTCATTGTTTTTTTTTGCTTCTGTCATATTGTCTGTAAGTGCTAAACTTTGTATTTTTGAGTGTTGTTATAGTTCTTACTTATACAGTAGAATGGATTTTCTGTTTCCATAGTATTTTAGCTGAATCCTATCCAGGAGTCTGTAGTGATTTGTAGCTAGGGAGGTGATAAACAGTAAAGCTGAGAAAAGGCTTTCCAAACTTTACCTTTGCTCAGAAAGTGTATGAAAGTGCATCTAGTTGAATGAACTTTTTTTTACACAAATAATTAGTCTGTTAACTGTGGGAAGGTATCCACAAGCACTTGGTATTGGAAAAACAATACCACCAATTCTCATAAACAACAACTCCTGTTTTCAAGTGTATTAAATGTTTCTGAACTTGTTTAAATACAGCTTTTGCTCCAACAAATTTTCTGACTCAATCTTTGAACATCTAGTCAAGCATACTAAGAAATAATGTTTACAGTGTTTTGAAACATTTACCTGCCTTAATGCCTTAAGTACAGGAAACTTAAGTGTAATATTAAGAAACAAACAGTTGGTGCAGGAAGAGCAACACTGAAGTGTTTTTCAGGCTACTTGTTTTAAAGGGATTGGGAATTGAACAGAATATGAAATGCCAAAATAAGATGAGGGGAATGTATTCAAATGCTCTGCTATATGAAATGCAACAGATATTCTGCAGTACAGCTGTTTCAGATGTTGTTGATTAGACCCAGAAGTTTTGTCTGTAAGTGCTAAGGTGTTTGTCAGCAGTCTAATGTGTGTGGGAGGCTTTATCAAACTCCTGATTCTCTATCTTTTACTTTTAGGCACCAGTCACAGCTCTCACTCTGTGCAGTCGAGCCTTGTCAGACATTCCCCTGCCCGTGCCTCAGTAGCTAGCCATTCATCTTATTGCTACGGCAGTCGTCATTCATCTCTTCGCACATCCACAACGGGCTTTGTGCCTTGTCGGCGCTCTTCCACCAGTCAGATATCCCTTCGTAACCTTCCATCATCCATCCAGTCCCGCCTGTCTATGGTGAACCAGATGGAACCTACTGGCCAGACTGGGGTCAGCACGCAGCATGGACTGCCCTCTTCTAGCAGCTCCAGCCAAAGCATCCCAGCCTGTAAACAGCATGCCCTTGTGGGCTTTCTAGGGACAGAAGGAGGGAGTAATGCAACTGAAACGCAGTCAGGTGGCAATGCAAGCCCTGCAAATCAAATGCAAGCCAAAAAGGATGACGTTATTTACAGAATCCAGGTGAATAGTCAAGAAGAACAAGTTAACCTATGCTTCCACATGCTTTTGTTAGTTTTACCTTGGATGTTATTGAAATCACTACTTCCTAAATACACACACAGTCTGGAATGCCTCAGTATACAGCTATTGTGCAGTTACATTTGGAGAGCTAATGTGAGGAAAAGGATATCTGGACAACCAACCTTCTTGCATGCTTAGACATCCCTGTTTACTTGTATGTTTTGCTGTAGTGCAGCTTTGAGAATGTCAACTGAGCTTAGTTCCACTTCATACTTAGTTTGCCTTTATTCATGACAACATGTAAAACTGAACAGCTTCATTTGCAAAGTAGAAAGCAGGTAGCTTTTTTCATTTAAACCAATTAGATCTTCCACAAAAGTAAAAATTTTCACTTTCATACATATTTATTCATTTTCATGTGTATTTATTCTTTGGTTATTGCCTCAAGTCTGGGTTTACTGAACAGCAAGCAATACACCATTGACTAAGTTAATCATGCAGCCTTACTCGTTTTGTGCAAATCCAGAAATTTGTATTCTTGCTCTTCTAGCTTTTTATTAGCACCCCCCTTGTATGCCTTTGGCAGTATATTAGTGAGAAACATCAAGAAGTGGATTTAACAGGGTAAATTATAACAAACATGATTTCCTTGCTAGTATCACATCATTGTAGAGTAATCCTTATTAAACTGCATCATAGTGGGTGAAGTTAATGAATTAATTTTGCAGGTCTATACTTAGTAATTTTTGTTTGCAGGCAGGAGCCCTTTTATCAAATTGCCTAATTCCTCAGTGGGAGGAGGATACAGGCAAAGTTGTCATGCACCCTTGGATAGTGGACACTGTGGTTCTCTCTCTGTTCTTAAATAAGAAGAAGTTTTCAGGAGTTTTTTCCTGCTGCCCCTGTGGAAAGGCCAGTTTACTTAAACACAGGGTGGGTCTCAACTGACAATGCTGGTAGATAAATAGATCTTCAGCCCAACAGCAAATTCTCCAAGATGGTGTTTCTTAATGTGTTCTGTAAGAAGTGACAGAGGCAGTTTTAACAGTTCATCATCACTTAACTCTTCCCTGCTACTGGACCATGTGCTGCCTATGCTTATGTTGTGGTATCTTCTTAGACCCTGCCATGAGCCAGTGTAACTGAAAGAAAGGGTGGGAAGGGGAACCAGAGCTGCTGCTTCAGACAGCAGTGACCTGATGTATTGTCAGCTCTGTGTGTGAAACCACAGCCTAATTTCCAAATGCAGTGCTGCTCAGGCTTTTTCCTAGCCTGGAGCTTGAATTTCCACCATTGAAATTGGTCAGAAATCAGTTTCTGTGGGTTAAGGTCACTTCTCTGGAAGTATGGAAAAGCTACATTTTATCTGTTTCTCTTAAATTTTGGCTGAACTAACAGTCAAAACTCAATTCCTACTTATAGTTAATGGATCCCAGTCAAGTACTGGAAGGGATCAACGTGTCAAAAAGGAAAGAGCTGCAGTGGCCAGATGAGGTGATACGGCTAAAAGCTGGAAGAAACAGCTGGAAAGACTGGAGTCCTCAGGAAGGCATGGAAGGCCATGTAAGTTTACTCAGAAGCTGACAAGCTAATTTTAAGAATGGCAGTGTCTTGATGCTATGGCAGTCTGCCTAGATGTTAAGACCAAAGGTAAATGTAGGATGGATCAGGAGCTGTGCTCCAAGTCCCTGTTGCTGGAAGAGCAGGTCCAGAATCTGAGTTTGAAGCAGAAGGATATTACTGCCGCTGTATCCAAAAGACACAGGGTGACGATTCAAGCATTGTCAACTACCTCTGCTTCCTTGCCTTCTTCCAGCTCTTGTCATGAACTCTCAGGCATTGCACTCATTCATCCAACCTTCATTTTCCTTTCGTTAAACTGTCTATCCTTGGGCAAATACAGAAGGTCAGTTTACCAACGAGTCCTTAACTGAATGCTTAACAGTATTTGTTTTTAAATTATCCTGATGAAGATAGTCAAGATTGTCTTTAGGTGCCTCTTAATTATAGGTACATGCTAAGTGTTTACTTTCTCTTAAAAAAGAAATCTGCTGTGGCTAAAACTTGCGAACACCTATGACTTGAACCTGTGTCTCTCTTTTTCCTAGGGTTATACGTGTGTTTTATAAAAAGTCATTGCGTTAGTTAGAAAACTCGTCTCTTGATTAAAGCTCTTTTTAGGGGTAAAAAAAAAACTATATCTTTGAACCTTTTTGGTTTTTACTGAAGCATATGGGGTTTTTTAGATCTTTGTGTCAATAAAGATACTCTAGTCAGTATTCTTCCAGTGATAAATAGTAAAAGGGAAGAGTCACTGACATTGTTTCTGCATTGGTTCATCAATAAAACTGTTTTTATTTGGAACACATTAGTTCTGACAGTTTATAAGAATTTGCTTTGATTGAGTGGTTACCTCAATTGGAGGCATTATTTATAAATTTAATTCAGGGGCTGGATTTTGTTCTCTGAAGGTCTGCATCACTGTGGATGTATGTGCAAGCCTCAGGTAAGAAATGGGAGTATGCTGATAATACAGCATATGCCAAATCTACCTTGTTACATGTGTGAAGGAAGAGCCCTGGAAATAAATCCCTTCCACAAAAAAACTGTACCATAGTAGGGTTATCTTGTATGTCTTCCCTTTCTGATCCTACAGCTGTATTCTTGCCTGCTGCGATGCTCCTCGTCAAGCAGTTTACAAGCCAAAGCCTTATGTCAGTACCGAGTAGAAAGCTGTTGTAAACAGTGTTCAGTTTAGATGTTATAGTTTCGGAATTTCCTTGTTAGCTATTGCAGATCAAGCATGCTGTCAAGATGGTGAATGTGAAGGGTTGTATCAAAACACGTCCTGTTACCTGATATCACTGGACAATTTTTTTCTTTTCATGAGTTTGTGTATTTTGCAGTTGCAGCATGCAGACGTGTAGTGATTGATGTTACAGAGAGAATTAAAACAAGGGAAGCTGTTCTAATGCTTCTCATCTATTTTTGGTGCAGGATACTGGCAGGGTTTTTTAGAAGCTCATTTTTGACCTAAGGTGAAAGGGGGAAAGCACCAGATTATCCTATGTGTGATTAGAGAGACAGGATTTAACTTGACATAGTTTCCACTGCCTGCTTCAGCTGCCTGTGCTTAAACATACTCATATCGTAAGCTCTCAGGACAGTCTTCCCTTTCTGATCCTGCAGCTGCAGTCCTTTCTGCAAACAGGCAGAAATGATTCTTACCTGCTACAGTGCTGCTCATCAAGCAATTTACCAGCCAAAGCCTTATGTCAGGACTCTTAGTGTGAAATCCAGCTCTTTAAACCTTTCCTACTACATACAAAAAGCATTTTTCCTAATTTTGCTTTTTATTTTGCTACGTGTGCAGTATATATAATACACAAAGACATTATAGAGTTTCTTCAAGGAAATGAAATTTAGCAGTCCTCATTCTATTGTATCTACTTTTTCCAGGACTTTTGAGATTAAGGTATACTCTGCATTATCTTTCTGTGATACCTGCAGTAGCATGCAGAAGAGCCCTTTTCCTTCTCAAGAGATTCTTACCACCTCTTTGCTGTCTAGTGACATCATTTTGCATGTTATCACTCATGGGGCATCAAGTAAATGCCGGCCATAATAGGAGAGATGGTAAAACCAAGTGAGTGGGTGGTTACAGTGAGTTGTAATAATCTATGTACAACTCTTGCCATAAGCACAGTTTTTAAGGAATCATGATACTGATGCTTTTTTGGAGTCTGCCCTTAGCTGCCACAGAGGCACCAGCTTGAAGCTGAACAAGGATGTAGTACTTGGACTTTATTGGGAAATTCTTTATATATTTGAAGGTAGAATATTCCTGACCTCACTCCATACAGCAGCATAAAAAGTTTACTTTGAAGTCAGACTTGAACACACTGCTTGAGTATCACGCTGTTGCATCAAACAAAGGGGAAGTGAAGATGCCCTGCTTCCCTAGGTGAAATGCTCCTCCTGTGAATGCAGTCTGTATCTCCTGCAGTAGAGAAAGCTGAGCATTAGAGAAACTGCCAGCTGTCAGTTGGGTTTAGTGAGGATTATGGGGGCCTTTTGAATTTGGTCTTGAAAGATGTAGGTTAATTGTGGGGTTCTGTCCTTTCTTCTTCACCTGAATCTTTAGAACTCTGCAAACTGTCCTGGCCTGGATTATGTTTTACTTATTTTTTTACCTTACCTTGTCTTGAATTTAGCAAATTTGAGAATTCTGTTTCTGTGGAGCTGGCAGTACTTAAAACCATGTTACTGGAACATCCTTGTGGTTCCTTTGGGGCACCCAAAAATTTAAGGTGTAGTTTTAGGGAGGCAGCTGAGCAGACACATACAAGGGCCTGTATGGAAAAAGGGGCTTTCTAATGGTCAGTATCAGGCAAAATCCTTGGTAGCAGCAGATCAAAGAACATGAATTCTTAAACAGGAGAAGTTTAGATTGCATATAAGGAGGAAATCCTTTCCTGTTAGGGTGGTGAGGCACTGGAATGGGTTGCCCAGGGAGGTTGTGAATTCTCCATCCCTGGCAGTTTTCAAGACCAGGTTGGACAAGGCCTTGGGTGATATGGTTTAATGTGAGGTGTCCCTGCCCATGGCAGGGGGGTTGGAACTTGATGATCTTAAGGTCCTATCCAACCCTAACTATTCTGTGATTCTATGCATAACCAGGAGTATGGGATAGTAGCTTGTAGCACTGTTTCTGAAACCTTTCCTCTCTGCAGTATTTTTTTTCATTTTAAATTATTTTTGAATAATTTAATTCAAAAGATCAACCTTGAATTCAGAGTGAACAGAATTAGGGCAAGGGATTTGAGAGTAGTTTGTACCCAACTCTTGATAAACTACAATTGTGCTATTGCTGTACAATACTGAGGTATTTTAAAACTATTACAGCTTTGGGATATAAAAATATCCCAAATCAGTACATGTACACTTCTAACAGTTTTTACTCACTTTGCATGAACTTTGGTCTGATTTGGGTCAGCTGATGAAATTCAAATCAAAGGCTGGCTTTTCTCAGGTAAGCTGCAGCTCTTCAGCAAGGCTTAAGTAGGTAAGCTTACCTTGTGGGTATGCTGCCCCTGAAAAGTGAGCAACTATATCAGTATAGCACTTACATTATTGCTCCTTTTGCCCTGTAAGGGTCTTGAATTATCAGCCATGACTTTGATATGGCAGTTTTCCCATGGAACTTCACATTTTATTACACTTCTTTTTTATTTCCCCCCAGGTGATTCACCGCTGGGTGCCTTGCAGCAGAGATCCAAGTAGTCGGTCCCATATAGATAAAACCATCCTGCTGGTTCAAATTGAAGATAAATATGTTGCTGTTGTTGAAACTGGAGTCCTTGAACTTGGGGCTGAAGTGTAAATCTCTTTGAGACTGAAACTTCCCCTTCTCCAACAGTTCAGAAGAGAGAAGGGTCCAGAAGAAGCAACTCCCAGGACATGAAACTTCGGTCCAGTTGTAGGAAAGGACTTGAAACACATATTTAAGTTCCTTTCCCCAAATAAACAAGTGTAAGAATTTTTTTAAGTTGTTAGCTGCTGAAGAAACATTTGCATGAAGGATAGATTTGTTGAGACATATCTTTGTTTATAAATTTTGTTTATGCATTGCGTAATGCTTTAAATCAACAAACTTTTCAGTTCTAAGATCAGAGCACCTCATATTTTTCTAATTGTTTTGCCAAAAATTGCCATGTCTTGTCACAAGAGTGTGTGGAGTTCATCCACCTTATTTCAAAGAAATTGACTACAAACCTTCAGTTTGGTGAAACAGTGTAAGGGTTTCAGGTGTGGCAAGAAGAGACTGAACAGATGTATAGATTCTTATTCCTTATGAGCTAAACATTAATGAGAACTGCACTAATTTTTTTACAGCAATGCACTAAAAACAACCCTGAGATTGCTGAGAACATTTATTTATATATATAAATATAAGTATATAAAATACCATTATTTAAATTGCCTTTGGGGTTAATCCCCTCCCTCTCCATATACATGTTGATGGTAAGGGCTGTGCCATGGGTTTGGTTCTATGTTCTGTATTTCGTACAAGTGCATTTGCTGCATCCTTTTCACAATAAATGGTAAAATAACATATATAGAAAAGCACCTGAGTATCCCTGTACTACATCAGACTATTGTGGTGGCAGTGGTACCTCAAATCTGTACAACACATCTAGCTTTAAAGTGAATCCTAAAATACTACCTTTCATTTGTTCCCTCTTCACTGGCCCTGGCTACTTTGCTTCTTTACACCCAGAGCTGACTGTTGTTTTGTTGGCTCTTCTCTGGCAGAGACAGTTGTTTCAGTTTTGTAGGGAGAGGTACAGGTCTGTGATTACTTCATGGATGATTGAAGGTTTTCTATTCTATCCAATTTAGAAGGGAAAAATAGCACAACAAAATCCCCAAGAACAACAAAAAAAAATTACTTCAACTTTTAAAGAGCTTTCATAGAAGGCACAGCCCTAAACTTGTATCTCTTTTACCACCTTGCCTTTTCTTTCCCTTTAGTCTTCATTCTTTTCTATGACTTGAATTTTATTTTCTGTGATGATATATTCTATGTAAGTGTAATTTGAGTATTTATAACTGTGAAGTTGAATTACTCATGTGTTACATATCCTAGGTTTTATTGTATTTTTTTAAAAGTGTGTATTCAGGGAAACAAGTAACTCTATCATGGGAGTGTGAGAGGGGAAACTGGTTTGTTCTTGACTTGCAGTTCCTATGACTCACTTTTCTTAATCCGTAAGAAAAAAAATCTACCTGTTGTGATTGTTTCCTGTTTCTGACCTGTAATTACTTAGGACTCTGTGGGGAAACTGCGCACAGTCCTAGCTTTTGGGAGCAGCCATCTTCTTCCCAGTCACCTCCACTTCTTTGTATGTAACATAACCAGAAGAGACTTCTGATTCAGCACAGAGATTATTGCAATTATTTCTCTGACATCAGAGGAACATTGTCTGTTATGTACCTAATGTAAGCGTGAAATTATATGGGCTGAGAAAAAAAAAGAAACAACTACCTAAGAAACGTATGTATTCTGACTCAAGTCACTGTATGCCATCTAGCCATGAAAGGGTAAGTCTGTTTGCCTGGTAGCTAGTCAATTCTGGATACTGTTCCTAGTGAATTATACTGGGACTTTGCTTACATTATATACTATGCAAACATGTACTCAAAGTACTGTGCATCTTACGGTTGCGTGTTACTGTTTGGTTTATGCATATGCAGTCCAATTCAATCTTGGTGTAAATGCACAGTTCTAGGTCTGCCACCTTTGACATAATTCTGCTGTTCCACATAATTTATCATATCTGCACATTATAGTGTAGCTGAATTCATCTCCTGCATATCTGAAAACTTAGTACAGTAGATAAACCTTCTTTAGCAGTCTGGTAAAGTTGCTATCGGGAATTAAGAAAATGTGTACACTTTGAATTGAAAGTTTTAGTTGAGGTTTTATTCTGTGTCTTTACCATCCGGTAATTACAGGGTTTTCTGTACCACTAGAAATACTGCTTCATTTTAGAGAGAGGAGTTTGAGAATAGGCCCCGTTTGATATTAGTTGCACAAGGCTGGGTTTCCTTCTTGTACTGAAGCCTTGAGGTAAGCAAATGACTGAAAGTCAAAATGCACTGGTGTTTTTTGTTGTTTTGTGGGGGTTATGGGAGCTTTTTATTTTGGTTTTTTTATTTATAAAAAATCAGACTTGACTGAAGCAACTTTTTGTATGTTAACCCTGGGTTTGAACAATCTGTCTTTTCAGGACAAGATAATGACAGTGTCCATTGCTGGTAATAGATAGGAATTAATGGGTCGTTAACATAAAAATCTGTAGAGAATGTTTAACTGCCTGGAATTAGATCAGCAAACAGCTGACTGGGGGAAAAGATGGTTTTTTTTTTTTAAGGGGCAAAGAGAATTAATGGATCTTTCTACTTTTTTTTTCCAATTTGAAGGCTTTCAGTGTGTTGCCTTCAGGAGGTGGATTCCAATGTGGCCAGATTAATACCTTGTTTCGGATACTTGGAAAGTGCCTGCTATGAAGTCTTTGCATAGTGCTCATACTAATTCCAGATTTGCTCAACAGAAGCCACCTAGTTGAAATTTCAGTTTTCTGTAAGGCTTTGGAAACTTTATGAAGTTTTCCTTCTTTCTGAACTCTTTAAAGTTCAACAATCACAGTTACATGTTGGTTTGTGCAAAGCTTGTGTCATTGGTTTCTATGTGCAAGTGACAAACCATGTTTGTTTACTTTTGACTCCACAGATCTGTCTGTGGAAACCTTTTTTCTAGATAGGGATGATTTCATCTTCTGTTTTCTTTTCTTTGGCCTTTGTCTTAATGCATGATATTTTTCTCCTGTTGCGAGTATGGAAAAGATGGGTATTTTCAGATCAGTCCTGTTAGTCAGATTAAGCTCAGAATAGAGCTGACTGGGGGGGGGGGGGGGTAGGGTGGTGGTGTTAGACCTTTCTAAGCTTTCATGAAAACCCATTCTGGATGAGTGCTTTATCTCTGTTCACTTGCATCATGTGATATTCTTTTGCCATAAGAACATTCCAGTTCAGCCCCATTGTTTTAGCTTCCAGGTAGTTTCCATCTCTGAATTCTTTAACGGTGGTATCTATGCGTTATATACTTGCTCCCTAAAGCAAATATTAAATTACAGAAAAATGCTGGAAACCCCCACTAATCAGATTATGTTCTTTGGTAAAAATGGCTGCTACTTAATTTTTTAAATCCTTTCCCTGTTTTACCTCCCTGTGAAATATTTTAAAATGTTCTGATTAAAACAAAACCCTAAAATGTTTGTGACACCACTGACAACACCTAGATTTCTGTGCCACTTGCACCATTACACTTGTGATGAATTCAGGGGTGTGCTCTCATGATTCAGCATTTGCAAACTCATTTTGGAGTTGGGGGGAGAGTAAGGGAGGAGTTAAGTAGGTTGAATGTTCCTGTAGCCACTTTGGGACATTTGGCATGTTTGCTTGGTAATCTTAATTTTCATGTCAGCTGCATAGTTCATCACCAGGCATTCCTTACCCCCATATTCACAACTGTCTTTGGAATCAAAGAACTCTGAGAAGCCTAGATGATGGGTGAGGTGAAAGATGAAGACTTGGGGCACAGGTCCCTGCCAATGGCTATTTGGCAAGTGGCCATAAAGCTTTGTCTTGGGTGCGCAGGGACTAGAGATGCCTTACAGTCGGATTCAACATCAAATTCTTTCTCTGATAATGTGCACACCAGCACAGACCTAGGAGTGTAAAATACAAAGACACTGCTTTAATGATTTCAATTGCAGAACTCTCCATTCACAGAATGGAGCAGGATCTATTGCATTTCTTACCATTAACAATGTTACTCAAATATTATTCAACTCATTGGATTTGGGGTTATACCACCACAGGTTTTATGTACTTAATTTTATTAAGGATTTTTATACCTATTATATAGGCATCTATTCTTGTCTGACTTGCTATTTGATAATCTCTTGCAGTACATTCAGTGGCACTGGACTTGTTCAGAAATTCTAGTGGTAAAATTACTGGTGCCTTAGTAAAAAAGTGGGTACATAACACCTTGGTGGAAGGTAAAGCATGTGGCTTGTTTCACCCCAGCATGATACACCTATTTCAAAACAGGTGATTAAGATGGCTGCCCCAAAAGATTTTTGGGAGTATAAATATATCACTTGGTCACAAACATCTGAATATGAGCAATTTTTATGACTTCTGCTATGTACAGTTTGAATAAATAATCCCAGTACGCCTAGGCCACAGCTCTGAGAGATGGCAATCAGGTAGCTGGGCTTCTGAGTGTGTTAACACAGATGTCCCCAGGAACCCAACGTTGAGCTGCTGGTTAGGAGAGGCGAGTACAGTGTGAGAGGATGGGTTTTGTTTTCAGTGGACAATGGAAATATGTATCGCCTCTGCCAGCAAACAGATATCTTACCAGGGATAGGGATATACATACCTGCGTGTCTGTGAGCGTGTATGTGTCTGCGTGTGTTACTGGAAATGGCCTGTAAATAGTGTAGCTGTTTAAAATGGAAAAGGCAGAGTTTTTTTGCAACATGTTGCAGCAAAAGGACAGTATTGACAGTGGAGAAACACTGAGAAATAAAAAAAAAACTTTTTTCACTTGTCATTGCACTACTCTCTTCTCTTGAGTCATTTGCACTATTTTAAAATCAAATCACTCTTTAATGAAGGATTCTCTTACTTCAAAATTGCTTCTCTTACCTTTCTATAGAAAGGAGAACCTCAGCTATTCCTATTTTACTGCCCTCATCATACCTGTTTTCATGCATCTCTTCTATACTTAAATGTTTTCCCCTTGTCTTTGTTGAAGCCTTTTCAGTGTTTATCATAATTTCCCTTCTCTTGATTTACTTTTTTTTTTTTTCAAAGCCCAGAAATTATTGTGCTGTCTTTATGCTCGGTCATTTTCCATTCTTCATGATTCTGAGGGAACTATTTTACCTACTGTGGGCTAATCAGTGATTTCTGACTTTCCGCTGTCCTGGATCTGATAGCCAACTGCACCAGTGTGCCAAGTCCTGAGCAGCACTACACTTCCTTGAACCACTTGCTGATGCAGTGATACTTATCTAAGAATACTCGGCTGCTCTATGTACATGGTCTCAAACTTTTTCATACTAGTACAGAGAGTTACAACATCTTGTCCCCCTACATGAGGACTGAATTTTTCAAAGGTCAGGATGATGGTGAGTTACAGGGCTGGGTGCTGCAAGAGTGGATCTTTCCTGGTTTTGAAATCAGAACAGTGTCCGTCTCCTGGGATTTGCTTCTTGCCTGCACTAGGCAAGGTGACTTAACCCAACAGGCCTTAATTTATGAATGAAAGGGGAGAGTACAAATACACCATGTGTTCTTAAGGAAAACCAGGTCCTTTCAACTAAAACCTACTGTATCTCAATTAAAATGATCATGTTTGTGACTGCTGTGCCTACAACCACCAGCTGTGGTTCCAGCTGCATTTTTTTTCTCGGTAGTGACAATATCCAAGTATGGGAGCAGCACTTAGCGCATGATTAGGGGACAGCAAAGAAGAAAGATTTATACTCTGCTCTTCCTTGCTGTTGGTGTCAGCCTGCAGCTGGTAAAAACTGGGCCATCAGAGCCACAGTCATAGTCTCAGTTTGGTTTGGCCTGAGCAGAACCTAATTCATGTGTGTCTCTGTGAGCCTGTGTCTAGGAACGGGGAACAGGATCTTTGCTTCAGAACCATGCACCTAGTTGGTATGAGCATCATGCCTATCGCACAGCTTCTTTCTAATGCCATGATTATCCTATACCCTGTTTTTCCTCGGGAGAAAAAAAAATCGTGGGTAGAAAAGTACTTGGATTCCAGC